AGCCTAGAGTAGATAGGTACAGTACAGAAGTATGTATGTATGTATGTATGATGGATGGCCAGGGCCGTGAAGGCGAGGAGCGAGGAGAGAGAGAGAGTAAGAGCGACATCTGGACGAAGCTCTAACATTAGCGCGCCAGCCAGCCAGCCAGCCAGCCAGCCAGCCAGCCAGCCAGAAGGGCCAAGCAGAGCCAAACACCTGCAGCAGATTGTGTGCCCGGGTCCACCACTACCAACCACCACCACTGCTACCACCACCACCACCACCACCACCACCACCACCATCACCACCACCAACTGCCTTACCACCCCGCTGCGCATTCTCTCCCACAGTCTGCCACGAATGCCCGCCTGTGTTGTCCTGTCGTCGCCCTGTCGCCGGCCATCACAAGCCCCTAGAATACTGTGAGGCCCAGAACTTGACATTCTTAATCCACACACCACTGCAGTCAGCGCCGCAACAATTGCTGCTGGTGCTGGTGCTACTGCTGTCGCTGTTGCTACCGCCGTCGTCGCCGCCGCCGCCGCCGAAGCGTGCCCTGCGCAACCCCCTCCCAACCACTGGGCCCTTTGCCAATCCCGCTCTGCACTGCTGGATCCCGCCCAAGAAACTCATCTAGATTTGTCTCCAAGACATACACATACATACACATACACGCATACGCACATACGTACATACAAACACATCCACACACGTCCCCGCGGTACGACAGCTGCACGTAAGACAGCGCACCTTGGGCCATCCTCTTCTCCTCCTCATCCTCTTCATCCTCGTCCTCTCCCCATCCCCCCACTCTCAGCGACAGAATTCGCAGCCGTCGCGGTGTTTGCATCCCCATTGCCTGCTGTGTCGTCGCACACCACCGCTCATCGATCCTCTCGCTCTCCTCCCCCCCTCCCGCAGCCCTCCATCCACCGCCGATTCGCCGCCGACGCCAATTCCCACAAAGGCTCTTGAGGCTGCTGCCAGGCCTGCGAATGCCCCAGACAAGCCCCGACGCCGCGGACTGAAGAGGCTATTACACACAGTACATGGCCGACTACGGCAACCAGCAGCGGGGCGAGTATGCGCGGGGCCCCAGTCATGGCCAACCCACGGGAGCAAGGGACGCGGCGTTTGCCAACATCTTCGGCGCCAGTCCAGCCATGGCCGGTCGCTCGCAGACTATGACTTCGCAGTCGCAGTTGAGGGACCCGGGCCGTGCTGCGACGATGAACAGCCAGACGGCCGACATGATGCAGCGCGCACCGCCCATCCGCCAGCCCGTCAATGGCTATGATCGACGGCCCCATCCGCAGTACGATCCGCGCGCAGGGCCACACCCAGGTGACCACCGAGGGGGCATGGAGCCACCGCCCAACAACTACCACCGCTCCGTCTCCAACGGCTACCCTCCTCCAGGTCCACGCTACCCGGACGGCCCGCAGCAGCAGCAGCAGCAGCAGCAGCAGCCTCCTCCTCAGCGACAGCCTCAGCCGCAGTACCTTCCACAACCACTGCGCCCAGAGCGCCAGCCGTATGGACAGCCCCAGCGCTTCGATCCGAGAACCTCTCCGCCAGGCCAGCCTCCTTCTTTCAACAAAACAGCCCCTAATCGCTTTCCTGGCCCTCCTGGCCCGGGCATGAACGCCGACCCCTATCGCTCACAGTCACTCGCCCTCAATCCTCGTCCCCAATTCACCCCTGGCGGGCCTACTCACCCGTCACAGGCAAACACGTTTAGACAACAGCCCTACATGAACCACATGGCCCGAACCACGGCACAAGGTCGCGTCGTGCCAGAGCGTCCGGATGAGCGGACCATGTCCATGACTTCGTATACCCGAGACCCAGAGCGCACCCAGACGATGAGTGGCAGGATAATACCCAGCCGAAGGCCAGAACCAGGAGAAGACCCCATGTCCCAGGGCTACGCCAGCCAGCCCAACATGACCATGGGAGCGGGCCCGCCAGTAAAGGCGAGGCAGACGAGCCAAGGTAGCATACCTAACCAGGGCAGAACCATGTCCATGGCCTCTACCATTGTCCCTTCGGAGAGGACGGACACCATGTCTTCCTTGTCGCGCCCGAGCTCAGTCCAGACCACGTCGAGCAGCACGGTCAACAGATCCTCGAATCAGTCCTACAATGGGACCATGTCACCAGGTGGTGCTGGTCCTCCTGCTCAGCGAAGAGCGCCCCTCGTCTACCCTGCCCTCCTCTCCAGGGTCGCCGAGGTCTTCCAAGACCGGGTTGCGCTCGCCGAGCGCGAAAAAGATGGACTGGTCTACAAGAGCGCTTTCACAGGTGCAGAGGCGGTCGATTTGATTTCTTTCATCATCAAGACCACAGACCGTAACTTGGCTCTGCTCTTGGGTCGGTCCTTGGACGCACAAAAGTTCTTCCACGATGTCACCTACGCTCACCGACTCCGAGACTCGACCAACGAAATCTATCAGTTCCGCGAGACCATGGTTGAGGATAAGTCGGAGATTAATGGTGTCTTCACCCTTTTGACCGAGTGCTATTCGCCGACATGCACACGGGACCGTCTGTGTTACTCCATCGCTTGCCCTCGACGCCTCGAACAGCAGGCTCGCCTGAATATGCGTATCCAGCCCGGTCTGAAGCGCGAGGAATCACGTGCTAGTTTACACGAAGAGAAGGACAGTGAAGAGCAGAAACTTTGGATTAATACGGTGCCAAAGGAAATTTCAGACAGCGTCTCGGAAAAGGAACAAAAGCGCCAGGAAGTCATCTCGGAGCTCATGTACACGGAGCGCGACTTTGTCAAGGATCTAGAATACCTACGCGACTTCTGGATGAAGCCGCTTCGCAATCCCCAAGCATCGCCCATCCCCGAACATCGCCGCGAAAAGTTTGTGCGCACCGTCTTTTCAAACTGTCAAGAAGTCTACATGGTCAACTCTCGAATGGCAGAAGCTCTCACGCGAAGACAGCAGAAGGAGGCTGTAGTGCGCAATATAGGCGATATTTTCCTCGAATACGTACCCCATTTTAGTCCATTTATCAAGTATGGCGCAAACCAGCTCTTCGGTAAGTACGAGTTCGAGCACGAAAAGCGTACAAACAATCTGTTTAGCAAGTTCGTCGACGAGGTGGAGCGAATGAAGGAGTCTCGAAAGCTCGAATTGAACGGATATCTTACCAAGCCCACGACTCGATTGGCCAGATACCCATTGCTTTTGGAAAACATTGTCAAGTACACAGCAGATGACAACCCCGACAAGGAGGACATTCCCAAAGTTATCAAGATCATCAAGGAAACCTTGTCCAAGGTCAACATTGAGTCTGGAAAGGCGGAGAATCATTTCAATCTCATGCAGCTCAATAAAGATCTCAAGTTCAGGCCTGGCGAGTATGTCGATCTTAAGCTGACCGACGAAAATCGCCAATTGGTCTTCAAGGGCACACTGAAGAAGACCCCCACTGAAGCGACGGGTGATATCACGTGTTACCTCTTTGATCACGCTGTCTTGCTCGTCAGAGCCAAGACTGTCAACAAGCGTGAGGAACAAAAAGTCTACAAGAAGCCGATACCCCTGGAGCTGCTCGTGATTACACAAATGGAAGAAATCAACCCTAAGCTGGGGATCGCCAAGAGGCCTTCTGCGAATTTGATTGCCGGCAAAGCCATTGCTGCCGCTACACCTCGCAACGATACAACCAAGCAGCAAGGGTATCCAATCACGTTCAAGCACCTTGGCAAGGGTGGCTACGAGTTGACACTGTTTGCCAGCACACCCATCTCCCAGCAAAAATGGATGGAACATATTGATTCGCAACAGCGAAGCCTTCGTGAGCGTAGCAACATCTTCACCAAGAGCGTCATTCATGAGGGCTTCTTCACTGCAACAATTCGTGTCACCTGTGCTGTTCCTCTTGGTAGGTTGAACATTTACCTGCTACCAAAACATGCTAACCTCCTCAGATGGTGGGCGCAAACTCGCTCTGGGCACCGATGCCGGCATATACGTTGTCGAGCGGAAACCAAAGGATGCGTCCTCACGGCCTCGTCGCGTACTCGACTGCAAAGCTGTTACGCAGGTCGAAGTTCTCGAACAGCATCAGATTGTTCTCGTCTTGGCCGACAAGACACTGTACTCGTACGATATCGAAGCCCTCAATCCGGACGAAACACAGGCCATTGTCAAACGGCCTCGCAAGATTTGTCACGCCAATTTCTTCAAGGCTGGTATCTGCCTCGGACAGCAGCTCGTTGCTGCAGTCAAGACATCCGCCCTATCAACCACCATCAAGGTCTACGAGCCCAAGGAGAACATGGCCAACAAGGGCAAAAAGTCTGGATTCGCAAAGATGCTCTCCACCGGCCAAGATCAACTCAAGCCATACAAGGAATTCTACATTCCTACCGAGTCGACTTCGATTCACTTTCTCAAATCCAAGCTCTGCGTCGGCTGCGCCCGTGGCTTCGAAGTCGTCAGCCTCGAAACTCTCGAAACGCAATCCCTTCTGGACCAAGCCGACACTTCCCTCGACTTCGTTGTGCGCAAAGAAAACATCAAGCCAATCCACATTGAGCGCATGGGTGGCGAGTTCCTTCTCTGCTACACCGACTACTCCTTCTTCGTCAACCGCAATGGTTGGCGCGCACGGCCAGACTGGAAAATCACGTGGGAGGGCACGCCACAGGCCTTTGCGATATTCAACCCGTACATCTTGGCATTTGAGCCAAGTTTTATTGAGATTCGACACATGGAGAGTGGGGGCCTTGTGCATATTATTACGGGCAAGAATATTAGGTTGTTGCACACTTCGACGAGAGAGGTAAGTCGTGTTGTGGATCTGGACGGAGGTGATGGGTGGTCCGTTAACGAGACGCAGATTCTCTATTCATATGAAGATGAGTTGGGCAATGATGTTGTAGCTAGCTTGGACTTTTGGCAGACGGCCAATGGAGGGAAACAGAGTATGGATCAGCAGCGGCTATTAGAGAAGAGCTAGTTGAAACATGTCTCTGGACTGGGATACATTTTAGCTTTTTAGTGGACCATGACTCCATGTCGCTCGAGCTACACACAGGTAGTGGTCGCATGGCTGAGAGAGACATTGGCTATACAACTCGCATCTCGGGTGCAGCTGTGGCTTCAGTGTGAGCTTCTCTTCAAAGTCTGCCAGTAGTAGTACGCGAGCTGGTTTCGATGTACTACTACTTGGGCAGACTAGGGTGGGGGTTTGCATGTATGCTGTACTTCCTTGCGCCCTACAGTGTACACTACTGATGAGAGCCCACTTGGAAAGATACCACGGAAAAGAGCTAATGGAGGTTGGCTTGAAGAATGCGGGTTGACAGCACCAAGCATATGTATGGAAGGGGGGGTTTTTTTTTCTTTGAAGCGGAACCTGGCGGGCGAATAGATACCTGATGATTGTGAGCGTCTTTGTTGGGATGTTGAGGATTTAATCTGAGCGTTTTTTCTATCATTTCTCTACTTAGTTGCTGTTTGGGTGTGCGCTTCTCTTTCACTCGGATCTGGCGCTCCGAGACATGCATACCGATAGGGCTTAGATGCACAAGCGTTGCCCTGCCAACACCTCGCTTATTCCTGCCTCAGTGCGGGGAAAACTTACCGCCACCACATACAACGGTACAACCACCGATTCCACCCCCGGTCCAATAAACCTCCACAGCCCGCCGGTAGGTACTGTATATAGATAAAATCCGCCTCAATCTACCTTGCACCAAGGCGGAGCCAAGCCAAGCCAAACCCTCGCTTCCTGCCTTTCTCACAGACGCAGCCATCATGCCAGCCAAAGTCGTCTACGGAAAGAAAAAAGCACACACATCAAACACAAATTTCTCGAAACTTCTGTCGCCAGAGAAAGAAAAAATAAGCGCAATTGCAAGCATACGGGACGATACGAACAGCGCAGATCAGGATTGGAGAAGTCAGTTGGAATGTGCTGCGAGTGAGGGAGATGCGTGGGGTCAGAATGTGGATGTGGAGGGCTTGGAGAAAGGGATAGGGGGACTGAAGGTGCAGGGGGAGCATGGCCGGGACATGGAGGAAGGGGCTGTGGTGGTTAATGAGTTAGAGAAGAGTATGGGAAAACTTGCGATTGGGGGAAGGGAAGAAGCGGTATCGGAAGATATAGCAGAGGAAAGTAGCGTAGACGCGAAGAAGAAAAGGAAGAAGGATGCGAAGCTCAGGAAAGAACTTGAGACGAGAGATGCTCATAAGCTGAAGGAAGTAGATATCAAAACGAGTGAAGAGAGTGAAGAGAAAAATGAGGCCAGCAAAGACAAGGAGAGGAGAAGGAAGAGAAAAGGAAAGGAAGACGTGGGCACAGGGGCAGATCTACGAAACACTCAAACCTCAACCTCAACTCCACAAATTGACGCCAGAGTATGCACACCCAGGCAAACACTGAACAAGTCGCAAAAGCCCAAACGAAGAGTCGAATGCACACCTACGACGCGGCCTCAACCTGCTCAACTGCTTACGCCCGAGCCCACACCCGATCCAGAAGACTTGTACACCGCTTATGTATCCCCCCTTCTCTCCCTCAGCGACCGAAAATCCCTTATCTCATTCGATTCCTGGGCAGCAGAATTGGAGCCACACTTTTCAATTTCAAAGATTGCCGAAGCTTCCTTCTCAGAAGTGTACCGCTTATCCTCCACTTTGACCAGCATCAAAGCAGAATCCGTGCTCAAAGTTGTCGCTCTGAAAACACCACCATCCGTCCCCTTCCCCTGCCAACTTTCAACGCGCGCGATTAGGGATCGCGAGGCGCAGCTGCAAAAAGAGCAAGATGAACGCGCAGAAAAAGACCAGTACAAATCTCACGTGTCTGACGTGCTGTCTGAAGTCCAGCTCCTACAGAACCTCACTCCAATTCCTGGTTTCACAGTCTTTCGTTCGCTGTCAGTCCTTCAGGGGCGCCCATCTAGCTCTCCAGCCTTCACGTCTGCATGGCACACTTGGAACCGCTCGCGGCCCCGGGGCAAGAAAAGCGAATTCCCCGATCCTGCCAAGAAGTCGTCTTACGACGATACACAGCTCTGGGCTGTCATTGAAATGCAAGATGCAGGCACCGATGTCGAAAAGCTCATAGAAGCTGGCGGCCTGAAAAGTTTATGGGAGGTGTGGGATGTGTTTTGGGGTGTTGCGTGTAGTGTTGCCAAGGCGGAGGAGGGGGTACGTTTTGAACATCGAGACTTGCATCTGGGCAATATTTGTGTGAGATCTGTGAATGCAGATGGCAAAACTGTTGCAAGGACAAGTACAAATGCAGATCTGATGGAGCCGAGGATAATGAACCCGCTGAAGAGAAGAATGAGGTTTTCTGGGTTGGAAACGACGGTCATTGATTATACGCTCTCGAGGGCAGATATCGTCAAGGATCAATCTACAGAATCATCACCGATGAAGAACAGCGTGGCTAGGACAGAGGTTGATGTAGCGTATCTGGATCTCGACGTAGATCCAGCGCTGTTTGAGGGTGATGCGAGCGAAGAGTACCAGTACGAGATTTATCGGTACATGCGAGGAGCGGTTCTCTTCAATAACCCACTACAACGGGAACCCACGTGCCTTCCTACCGCAGAAGTCGAACATGGTAATACACAGGAGCCCAGGGCTGAGCCTCGAACACCTACACGATCCCCGAGGAAGAATACCCATATTCGCTTCGACAGCAGCGACTCTGAAGAGGATGTTATCGCCGTACAATCCCGTCGATCATCACGACAAACCATACCCGAAACCCCAGAGACACAGACATTGCAATCGCACCCAGTACCACAACAACATAGCAAGAACTCTTCCAACAATAACACCACCACCACCAACGACAAAAGCCCCTGGCAAGCCTTCCACCCCCAAACAAACCTCCTCTGGCTCCACTTTCTCCTGCACAAACTCCTCGCCCACCTGCAAGCCCACAACGCAATCCCATCCCGTCTCACACCCGAACAGCTCTCCGCACCCATTGTCAGCGCGACTACTGCAACTGACGAGCCGCTCGACCTCGCGCGCATCAAGAAGAAGGCGATGAAGCTGTACAAGGTTTTGGAGCGGGTGAGTGAGCTGCTGTGTCCGGTTGCGTTGGGGCGGGAGGGGGGGTTGGAGAGTGTGAAGGAGTTGGTTGTTCGGGCGTTGGAGGAGAGGTGGTTGGGGGTTGGGGATGTGGAGGGGTGAAAGGGGGAGAGGGGTTTGGAGGGGGTATTTGAGATTTGGGGGAATGGGAAATGGGGGAGTAGGGATTGCCCTGCCCTGGCCGTCAAGAGGGGAAATCAATATCTATACTTTCTCAACATTTGTACACTCCATTGCCATTATGAACATGTATATTCTTGGCATCTTGGTACAACCACATCCCCTCCATCCACCCGTCTCGTACTTTGCATGGCTTGCGTCGGGAGGACATGTCTCATAATCACATGCATTACAAACGTGAGAACGCATGTCATTGGCGGTCATGAATGGTTGTTATTCTGGGTATATACATCGCCTTTGTCACATCATCTACATTTCTCCCGTGCCAAATCCACCTAATCCATCTCAAGCCCATCCGAGCTCTCCTCAATGAAAATGCAAGTCATCAATCATAGGCCTCGCTCGCTTGACATCCCGACTCAACCCCCTCCTCCTCCTCCTCCCCTGCTCAAGCCCTTCCAACTCCTTCTTCACCGCATCCAACATACCCTCCACAGCCAAAACATCCACCGCCACACCCGCCAACCCCTTTGCAGTCATCAGCGCCTTCTCCAGCGACCGCCTCGTACCCGCCGCAGTCTCGAATGAAGCCGTATGCGGTCCCCCCGTCGGCGCACTACCATTCTCATTGAAGATTTGAAAGAGGGGTTGAATGGCGGGGAACTTCTTGCTCATGTTGCCGTGATCCGTACTCCCAGATTGCTCTTTGATCTTATCAATAGCCGGGTCCGGAACCTGGCCGCCGAGCGCTACAAAGTGTCTTGACCAGGAAGAAGCGAGCACGTCGTTTGAGAGCATGGCGCTGTAGCTGTTATCGCGCATGGTGAGATTGAGTTTTGCGCCTGTGGCTACGGCACCGGCTTCGAAGCACTTGAGGAGGCGGTTGGTCCAGGGTTCGAGGTCTGCGTCGTCCTTGGCCCGGATCTGGAAGGATGCGGTGGAGAGGTCGGGGATGACGTTGATGGAGGTGCCGCCCGAGGTGATGATGCCGTGGATTTGGTCGGATCGTTGGGATTGTTGGCGTAACATGCCAATGGCGCTGTATGCTAGGACGAGGGCGTCTTGGGCGTTGATGCCCTCGTGGGGCGCGGCGGAGGCGTGTGCCGTCTTGCCGTGGTACTCGAGATCCAGCCGGCTGGTGGAGAAGGTGCGCATGTAGGGTGAGTCTGGGCCGTTGGTGGGGTGTGCCATTAAGCTGATGTCGATTTTGTAGTCGTCGAAGATGCCGGCGTCCAGCATGTCGACTTTGCCTCCGAGACTCTCTTCTGCTGGAGTGCCGAAGAGGATGACCTTGCCGGGGAGGTTTTGCTCCTTCATAATTTTGGCTGTAGCAAGTGCACCTGTGACACCAACCACAGCAATGAGGTTGTGCCCGCAGGCATGGCCGAGGTTGGGTAATGCATCTTGAACCCTGTCAGCAGGGTCGATTATGACGGGTGTGTACCCCACGTACCATATTCCGAGTTGAAGCTGACAATGGGACCATCCCCCGAACCCTCAAAGACGGCAGAGAAGCTGGTACTGATGTTGTATAATGACCTGGTGACGTTCCACCCATCTTGAGCTTCCATGAATGAGGTAAGAAGGTGATGTGCTTTGACTTCCTTGAACCCTAGCTCAGGGTTGTCATGGAGGGTCTTGCTGATGTTCCATATGTCATCCTGGATGGAGTCGACATATTCCGAGATGGCATCCAGGTAAGATGTGTCGTTACTCTGGCGGGAGACCAAACTTGCACTTGCGACTGAGCTTGCAAGAGCTAGCCCGCACGTCAAAAGATTGGTGTGCTTCGTCATGACAGAAAAAATTGATAGGATGAAGAAACGTGAGAGTGAACTGGAGAGCCCGATAGCAGGCGGACTTTGCTATCTTTATATTGGGTACGTACCACTTATCTCCACTGCCGTATCGGCTTTCCGTGTCGATGTCATGGCTCGTGTTTTGGACTGCCGGCATGGGTGGACTTGTACATTCTACCATGAGATATACAGGATTCCTTCAAGTTAGATGCAGGACTGCTGTATGGCAAGCATGTAACCGACCAATCCCCCGATACCGGTAAATCCCATCCATGGCAGCCTGGAGTTCGAAGAGGAGTAGGTAATATCAAGCCTTTTGTGCACCATAGCTTTTCATCTAATTCAACATGCCATACTCCACCCCTCCGCAGGACATGTGCTCCATTGAATAGCACACTCGCCAAGGCAAAAGCAGCCAACTATTTGACGGTCTTGCAATTTTGGTGACGCGGGCTTCTGAGGGAGGTCCGTAAAGAATCGCCGGAGTTTTCCCGGCCCGGGTGGCCCATTCTTGGCTGCAGACGAATTCCCGCTGGACAAGGAAGGTTCTTCCCAATCTGTGGGGAATCGTTGAGAAATCCCCGCATTCTCTATTCCTAGCCTGATTCACTGGACCAGGTATTGTACAAGTAGGCGAGGGTAGTCGGTCATATACCTAGGACCGTCTTCCCAACGTTGCTGGGAGACTACATCCATGTGACCACAACACACGACCGACTTTTCCAGCTTGGTTGTCCGTGGAAGATTTCAAGATTTCACTGTGCTTGCTTAGATCGTAGTGCAGTCTTCTGACACCTTCGCTCGAACAGTCCTACTTGATGAGGCGGGAAGCGGTGTGAGCGCATGCATGCCTTGACACTGGAAAGACTTTCTTATTCCTTGGTAGTAGCATCAGCAAAAAAACGTACATTACACGGTACACTTCTTCTCCAGCCACCGCCCAAAGTTGACACTCGGCTGATCAACCACCCTCTCCACGAAATCTGCCAGACAAACGAGAACGATGGCCTCGGCACACCATCCGAGTGCCACACCAGCTTCATATCCGACGAGTGTGTCTGCACCTGTGAAGCGCCAGAACAAGGGAACAAGCCTGTAACCCAGCATGCGGTTCATAGGTCCATGCAGGAGATAGAGAGGAAACGAGATTTTGCCCAGATAGACGGTGAAGCGATTGGCGAAGAGGGGTTGGAAGAACTTTCCGCCGGATAAGGTAAAGAGTAAGAGGACTGCGCCGTTGGCGCGCCAGAACTTGGGTGGTTTGAGGGTCGGAGGAGTAAGCTTGGTAAGGGTGCTGAAGCCGAGGGCATCGGCATACTTTGCAGGCGGGAAAGAGAGTAGATGGCAGGATACATAAAAGGCCAAGATCCATGCCCATTTTGGGATGCGCTGTGTTATTCTCGCTGCGAGAGACGCGCTGGCTTTGCCTTTGTAGGATGGTAGCTGCTGCTCGTGTTCAGCAAGCACCAAAATGTACTCGGCACAAGCCATGCCCCCGAAGAATAGGGACACGTCCCATAAGCCTGAGAGAAGGGTGTAGCCATACAGCGCCGCAGTGCATCCGGCTCTGACTCTGGGTTTCAATTTGGAGTAGCCAGCGAGTGTGGCAAACAGGAGTATCGAATTGAAAAACTCGGTGGGGATAGTCCAGAAATGGCTGTTGTAGCGGTATCCGTGTGAGGATAGCGGGTTGCTCCATTTCCACGTCTCTACTGCCCAGTCGATGATTTGGGCACGCATTGTTGGGAGCACAAAGGGCCTCCTTCGCGGCATATTGTAGAATGGCTTGTGTTTCATGCGCCAGTCGGCATAGTCATAGAAACCCGAAAGCATTGCGATCAAGATGCCAAATGAGACGGCAATGCAAGGCAAATAGAGGCGAAGCATACGACGAAAGACGGACGAGAAGAGGGAAGAGTGGAATTTGCTCCAGTCCTGGTTTCGTGCTAATTGGAGAGGTCGGAGCGACAGGGCCACGCCCGAGAGAACCCAGAAGATCTGGACACAGGGAATTCCATGGTAGAATACCCGCATTACAGGTAACTGTATTATCCAGTAGTCGTCGACCCCACCGTTACCGCCATAACCCAGGTCATAGGCCTTGTGATATTGATGCTGGAAGTGATAGATGAAGACGACAAAGGCAGCATAACCTCGAAGTCCATCAAGCCAGGCGGTGGGCCGGGGCCGCGGGGGAGGGGTATGAGCGCTGGCTGTCAAGAAACTGGGTTTCAAGATGTGGAGGTAACGATGAAAGATGTGGCTGAGTAGAGAGATGGGGTCTATCCGTCTCCGCGCTACAACATGTCGTCAGCTTTTGTTGCATTGATGGGGCCATCACAACGCCTTACATGGAGCGTGTATCCAGGCGGGCTCCTCCTCCACAAGTCGAGCCTTTTCGTCCACTTCCAGTTCCTGTCTCGTCAGGCTCATGTTGTTGATTGCTTGATCAAGGAGTATTCTTTAATGCTGGGCCAAGATAAAAATGTCTCAAGACAATGCCATTGAATCGAGGGCAAACAGGATAGTGAGCAAAGCCTCGATGCAGAGATTGAGCGTAGAGCAATGTCGTCTCGAGACGTCCACACGACGAAGCAAGTGGACGTGAGAGGGTTGAAGGGTTCAACTTTTGTTAGACATCTGCGCCCAGAGCGCCACTAGATATTCTCGACCCATGGAATTGGGTAAAGGTCAGTCCCATTTAGGGCAGATCCACCTCTTGTCCTTAGTCTCTCCGTATCGCTGTTCTTCAAAGTAGTGTAGTCTGTCCGCGGTCCTGCGCTAGTCTCTCGATGCATCCGCATGCAGTTCACCCATAGCCCCCCTGCAGATCCGCCATACTCCTATTAGCAGCATCTCAATTTCGTCCCAAGGCGATTATTCGTTTAGGTGCAACACACATGCCCAGCCTTTCGACACGGCAAGATCGTTTTGGCGTTCGGTAGCGAGTTGACACATCCCTGAAAGGCCTGAAAGGTGGCGTTCGCTACTCTGCCTGTCTGCACCTGGCCCATGAATCCAGCAGCGTGGCTGGCTGGCCCCCAAAGACAGCTATCGAGCCCTTCGTACGTGAAGGGGAATTTTGGTTGACTGCGCAAGGGTGCCGATCAGAAGGAAAACAAGAATCGGGATGAGAATGCGTGGTGTATTTGTGAAGCTTGGGATGAGGCGACTCTAGAAGACGAGGCGAAGTTCGGCCTCCCCACCATGTCAGTGCAACTACGATCACCACTTCACCACCTACCCACTTTCAAGCATATACATCTGGAGTACCATTGCAAGTCAACGTGATTGCTTTCCTGGATAGGGCATTACCAAGCCAATGCGGGATCCGCTGGCGTAGCAATTTTGCTGCAAAGAGGAGGCGTCCACGTGCTGTTGTTTTTTGTTGGGAGCTGGGGAGGGCTGAGATGGCGCTGGCAAATCCCCCCTTTTTTGAGCTGAGCCGACTTTTTCGGTAGCAGACTGACTCTCTTCAACCAGGCGCGACACACAATGCCGAGCCCTATCGCCAGCTGCTCTCCTCTCTCCAACTAGCTCGACGCCACGGCGATGAGGGCTGGAAAACATTGCGCGTGCCCAGTGTGGTAGAGGAAGCAGGCGGCGGGATGTCCAAGGCTGAAAGTCCAAAAGGTCCAAAGGGGGGGGCTAGAACAGCATCCCGCCGCTAGCCTATCAGGGAGAGAGTAATGGGCACTGTGTTGGAACCTGATACAGTAAAGAACTTGTTCTGTCCTCCAACCATGCCTGGACTCAATTTACTTTTCCTCACGCACGCTCTAAGCAAGCCAAGAAATGATGGAGCCGAACTGGGCTCCGACAGCATGTCGACAAAAGCTCGTTGCCAGCTAAGGTGCATACGCAGTAGTTGGTAGTATGCATGGAGATCAGGTCCCCTGGCCCTTGTTGGCTGCCTATACCATGCACAACTCCACAGAATGGTCTTCCGGCGACGGCGAATTGAGTTTGGCTGATCCGTGAGCTAGGTGACATTGCAGTTCCATGGTCGAAAAAGCTCTACGCGGGTCGGACGGTGCATACGCGGTAGTGGTAGAATGGACCAGGTCCCCTAGCCATTGCTGGCCATACTCCGTGGTACACAATTGAGCAGAATGGTCTGGCGGGCGTTGGGCAACATTTGGAGGAGGATGGATTTAAGCGTGTTGGTTAGAACGGTGACGACCACCTGCTAAGACCTGCGACTTTTGCTTCTGCAGGATTACTCTCAGCATCTGTCTGCGTCTTGCCACATTCATTCAGCGAAGACGTGGAAACCTCAAGATGATGAACCGACAATCCTTCTTGGTATACCAGCGCTATGCGGTGTTTGCCGTCCTCGTTGTCGTCGTATTATCCGTTTACAGCTTCCGCCCAGCTGATGTTCCATTATTTTCCCGGGAAAGGGAGAGGGCGTCGAATTTGGCGATTGAAACGGACACAAACGACGTGCCTGCGACGATTGAAAAGGCGGCAATAGATATAGAGACTACGACCCATGCCATTCATCCCACGGCATCCAATCCGTATGGGCATTTGACTCTGATGTTGTAGTGTCCCCTAGCTAACCGAGTGCAGAGTGCTCCCATCCTCATCTTCTCCCGAGGCTTTGCAGAAGTCCGATGATCCTGTGCGCGATGCAGTCAGGCACCTCTTCCGCAATGTCAGGGTAGATCCCACAGAGAGATACTATCGCGACCAGGACGGCAAGTACTTTACCGGTGCACGCGGGGACGATGTTGTCTGGAAAGAAGGCTTGGGCAAAAAGATAGTCATTCTCGACGTGGACACGCGAGTACCAACGGGTGACAATCAAATCCTGAATGCAGACAGGAAGATCAATTGGGCTACCCTGGAGGCCGCTGGCGTGGGGCTCATCTCTCATGGCATCACCGGTCATTATCTGTATGCCATGATTCACGGCTACGACTACAAATACGTGCAGGCGGCTGAAATGCCTGGTTTTCACAGCACGTGGATCCGGCCCCATTTGATCAGGGATATGCTGCCAGAGTATCAATTCGTGGTGCACATGGATGCCGACGCAGTCATTGCGCATCCCGAGGTGCCTCTGGAATGGATGTTCAATCGATGGGGTGTTGCGAAGAACACGTCCTTTGCGATGCCCCTTGACGCCGAAGTATCTCGAAACGGTACGTAACTCTAGACATGGCTTGGGTAGGTACCTAGAACCCCCCTTTTGCTGATTTTGCTTTGTCCACAGGGAAACCAATGAGCGAGGATAGCCGTGGGGTACCCATCTTCAACGCCGGGCTCGTCATCACGCAAAACAACAAGGTGACGCTGGACATGCTGGAAGCCTGGGCCGACTGCACGACCGAGGTCCGATACCGTGGGTGCGGCGTGTGGAAGACAAAGTTCAGCCACGAGCAGCGCGCGTTTTCAGAATACATTCGGTATGACTACGACACCACGCCACAGACCATTGTTGCGATTCCCTGTGACGACGGGCTCGGCTACCCGCAGTTCAAAGAGCATGCGGCGGGGAAGAAGCTCAAGGCCGAGTGTAGGGGCAATTTCATCCGGCACTATACGTTTGGCAGGGGCAAGCCGATGGTGCATGCTGCTACCACGGAGACGATGGCACAGGTGCTGGCACAGGTGCTACAGAAGAATCTGTTGCAGCATAGGAATGAGGCGTGGAAGAAGGAAGGCGGGGCTGTGCGGGATGGGAGCGTGGCCGCGGGTGAGGACGAGGATGGGGAGGAGGGAGGAGAAGACAAGGATGCAGATGAAGAAGAAGTAGAAAAGTCCAACGAGGCCGAACTCAAGACGGCCGACGAAGCAGGTAAAAAGCAAGCCGACGCCGATGCCAAACTCAACGACGAGGCGGAAAAAAGGCGAAAGGCGGTTTTCCAGGAGAGGCAGCAGGTGTATTTTGAAGAGCGGCAGAGGGTGGGGAGATGAAGTGATGGCTTGTTGGCAGAGCATGCAAGGTGAGGAATGAAATGATGGTGTGGTGAATCTACCTACCTAGGTGCCTACATGCCCTAGTACTTCCTCGCTATTCTGCACTCGGCCGCGAAAGCACAGTGGTCGAGGGACTGGAGGTGTCTGTTGTTTGCTGAAAGCAAAGCAGTCCTGTGACGTTACCCTGCACGGCGCAATCATATATGCATGGCTCGAGTGCTGCGGGTGGAGTAGAGTAGTAGCTGGCGTTTGGCACTGTGTAGTGGCAGAGTCGGATGGTGGCAAGCAAAGCAAAAGCATCGCATCCATGCATCCAGATGGGAATGATCCTAGCTACCTACTCTACTCTAGCGATGCCAATGCTGTTCTGTTGTGGTCGTGTGTAAACGCGTTGGTCATGCAGGTTGGGTGTGCGCGTGTGTACCTGTCTGGTACTGTACCGGTACAAGTACATGGTTGCAGCCAGGTGCGGGGAGTTAACAAACTCGATTGTCTTCTTTTTTTTTGGCTTTGTGTATTTTCCCTCTTCTTTGTTTTCTTTTCTCCAGGCAGAACTGGATAGGTGGTAGGTGGTAGGTGGTAGGTCCTAGCTAGGTGGCGATGAAGCATTGTTTTGGGCGGTGATGGGAAGAGCAAGCAGGGTTGGAGCTGGGAAGAGAAGATGGCGGCATGGGATGCCTAGGAGTAGAGTGAAGACTCTGCCCATCGTGCCTATGCGCAAATGCGTCGTCGTGTGCACTGTGTGTGTGAGAGCTTACTTTCCCTGTTTGCCCGGCCCAAGCGCTGTTCTTGGAGATTGAATTTGCCCTACCTTGCCTACCTACCTGCCTACCTACCTACACCTAAACACCAGCGCAGACATCCCCCCGTTGGCTGTGTATGGTGTGTGTCTGTGTCTGTGTGTGTGTGTGTGTGTGTGTGTGTGTGTGTGTGTGTGTGTGTGTGTGTGTGTGTGTGTGTGTGTGTGTGTGTGTGTGTGTGTGTGTGTGTGTGTGTGTGTGTGTGTGTGTGTGTGTGTGTGTGTGTGTGTGTGTGTGTGTGTGTGTGTGTGTGTGTGTCTGTGTCTGTGTGTGTGTGTGTGTGTGTGTGTGTGTCTGTGTCTGTGTGTGTGTGTGTGTGTGTGTGTGTCTGGCGTTCTGTCCTACTTTCTTCCCTCTGACCTTGATACACTCCTTTTTACCACTACGTTTTCCCTTCCTCCTCTTCCTTTTGTCTACTACTTCTCCCTCCTGTTGCAGTGCATGTTCTTGTTGGTTGTTCTTTTCCTTGTGCAGCCAACTACTTCCCACTTCCCACTTCCCTGCCCTTGTCTGCCACTGACATCGGCCGCCCGCCGTTGAACGACAGCTCTCTCCCACTTCTGCGCCACAGCTGCGTTGGACCAATTGTCTGCGCTGTATAATCTACCAGCTAAACGGCTACTTACTACTGTTGTGCTTGACGGGTCCAGTCGCCTGCAACCACCCTTTATCACGGCAGGCCGCATGCGATACATAGCTGGGCCAGCCCAAGGCTCTCGCCGCCAGCCAACATGAGCAGCATGAGCAGCAGCAGCGGTAGCAGCATCAAGTCGCGGCTGCAATATGCGCGCCAGAAGCTGTGGAGGCGAGGCAGCGCAACGTCGACAGCAACCACAGCGACCATAGCGACATCATCAGCAACAACGGCGACACGTTCCCTTGCCTCGTCCGGCAGCGAACGCCCTCCTCCTCCTGCTCCTCCTCCTCATCATCACCATCATCATCATCATGGGCTATCTCCGGGCGGCGGTCACAGCCTTCGGAAGAGCATTTCCATGTCTAGGCTGGCGGCCACGTCGGACAGTGAGACGGAGTTTCTGGGAGAGGGCAGCAGTCCGGATGCGCGGTTGACGAGGTCAGACGTCTTGGGCACGGCCACAGCAACGGGACCCACCAAGCCACCGCCCACGCCTGCGCCGCCCACAACCAGCCCCAGCCCCGGCCACACCACCAACAACACTACTACCTTCACCCCCACCACCACCACCACCGCCGCCACCACAGACATCGGCCCGCCCATTATTGGCATCACCACCCCGTCCTCCGCTTGCACCCCGTCTTCCTCCACCTCCACCTCCACCTCCACCTCCACCCCCGCCTCCTCCTCTCCCTCCTCCACTCCCGCCAACACCCAGCAGGAGCAGGAGCAGGAGCAGGCGCAGGAGCAGCACCAACACCAGCAGCAGCAGCAGCACCCCGTGTGCCCCGCTGTCACCCTTGAGGAGCCCACGCCCATCCACGCCGCTCCTCAGCTGCAGCCCACCGTTGCTGTCGCCGCCCTGGACAGCCGCGTGACAGCGCCGTCGCCCTCGTCTGCGGCCTCTGCTGCGTCCACGCTGTCCCCCACCCGCCGCCGCCGCAGCAGCAGCAACATCCATTCCCCGTCCCCGTCCACGAGCGCCGCCTCCGCTACAGACGTCGTCATAGTCACCCCCCCGCCGCCACCGCCGCCGCCGCCTATTGTCCGTCGCCAGTCGGTCGCAAACACTTCGGATGCCAGGCTAATCAAGACGCTCCTCGCGCCCGACATCCCCCACTCTGCCCTGGCCACGGGCCTGTCAACCACGGCTGTCGACGACTATTTTGGTCCAACAGCAGCAGCCGCGGCCGCCACCGTCAGCCTCTCCGCCGGCATGCTGCATCGCAAGATCTGGGTCAAGCGGCCCGGCGCCTCGGCCACGCTGGTGCAGATTCGTGAGGACGACCTGGTCGACGACGTGCGCGACATGATTCTGAAAAAGTATGCAAACTCGCTGGGCCGCTGCTTCGACGCCCCGGACGTGACGCTCAGGGTGGTGCCGCGCGATGCACAGCGGGCGCAGGACCGTACTCTGGGGCCCGAGGAGGAAATGTGTCGCACCCTGGATGCCTACTATCCCGGCGGCCAGCATGTCACAGAGGCCCTCATCATCGACGTGCCACAAAAACGGACGCCCAAGCCTTCGCCCCGCGTACCGCTCTACTACCCTTACCACGACGATGCCACCAACCACCAGACCGAGTACTTTCCCCCCATGCCCGTCAACAACAATACCAACAACATCAACAACACCGCCTCGCCCGCTGCCTCTGGCTCCTCCCCCAACGAAGCTCGCATACCACTGCCCCATGCCCCCCACTCCATTGCCGTCATCAGTACGGGACAGTTGCCCGCCTTACCCTCGCCTGGTAGTACTCGCCGAGGGCCGCTCCACTCGCATCGCCCCAAATATCAGCGCACCCATACCGCCTCGCCCACCATCATGGCCGGCGGCATTCCCTCGTCGGCCAGCACCAGCGCCCCCCGGCCCGTCAACCGGCCACGCAAGGACTCGTCTGCCTCGGAAACAAAGCACTCGGCCACGTCCAACAACCCGATTCCCACTCCACCCGTCACTGCCGATCCCATGGCTCGCCAGCAAACACTGCAGACGTCGACACCCTCGACGCCACGCGTTGCCTCGCCGATACTCAAGGAGAAGAGGCGGAAGAAGAGGCAACCGCTCGAGCCGCCCACGCTCCCCGCCGGCCTTCTCGATGGCTCCGTACCCCCGATCAACGTACTCATCGTCGAAGACAACATCATCAACTTGCGCGTCTTGGGAGCCTTTATGCAAAGACTCAAGGTCCGCTGGCAACGCGCGATGAATGGCAAAGAAGCCGTGACCAAGTGGAAAGCAGGCGGTTTCCACCTGGTGCTCATGGACATTCAACTCCCCGTCATGAATGGCCTGGAAGCCACAAAGGAGATTCGCAGGCTTGAGCGCGTCAACAGCATCGGCGTCTTCAGCGGTGGGAGCAGCGAGCCATCACACAATCGCGTGGACGACCAGGGCAAGGCGCAGGAGGAGGTGGTGGCCGATGATCAATTGGCCGACAAGAACATGTTCAAGAGCCCCGTCATTATTGTCGCGCTCACGGCTAGTTCACTGCAGAGTGACCGACACGAAGCCCTGGCCGCGGGCTGTAATGATTTCTTGACCAAGGTACGTCTCTGTTCTGCCCTCGTCTCCGTGGCAGTCACTGACCCGAATCCAGCCGGTGAACTTTGTCTGGCTCGAGCGCAAAGTCAAGGAGTGGGGCTGCATGCAAGCCCTCATCGACTTTGACGGCTGGCGCAAATGGAAGGACTTTGCCGACAAGTCGGACAACAACGATTCCACATCCAAGCTCAGCGTCAGCTACCACAGCATCGCGCCGAGCAGCAAGAAGACGGCCAGTGGCAGCAGTCCCACGACGGCCAATCATCCAGACCTGGTGAATGGGGACAAGGACGCCAAGGACAAGGATAAGCGGGCTAAGAGGAAGAGTCTGAGTGTGCTGCCGCCTGTGCTTGTCGAAGAGGGCGAGAGTCCGCCGTTGGGGGCCGAGGGGGGGTAGGCGGTGGTATTGGGGAGTGGGCATGGGCATGGGTGTGGGTGTGGGGAAAGCGGCTAGGCAACATCATTATAGTAAACCGAGGATTGGGAAAGTACAGGTCTTGCGTATATGGGTCCTAGGACCGGGACCGGGACGGGGAGACGGAATAATGGCATATCATATGTAATACTCATCGCTTTTTTTATTTATTCGTGTTTCTGTGCGCAGAGCTTGTGTTGCCCGTGAATGGGTTGTGGGATTTTTTTTAGCAGGTGGATGGTCGGTGGTCAAAGGGAGATGGGAAGGGGAGATGGGAAATGGTGAATGATGTATCAAAGAGATGGGAGGGAGGCAAGGGGGGCGAATGTTGGATCTGGGTGTAGAGTGGGTAGTATATCTGTAGAGTATACTGCTGTAGAAGCGGGATTGGGATTGGGATTGGGATTGGGATACTACTGGAGCTGATGAGGGGAATGGGGGGCAACCGGGTGCTGGGTAAGAGGAAGGGGGTAGTCGTGCTGGTTGTGGGGGTAGGACTTGGGATTGGATGTTAAGAGGAGATTGGGGGCATAGTAGTTGGAGAGAATAGGGGGAGGGATGGGAGAGGGGAGATTGACCAGGTGAGTTGTGTGTGGGACATGACTGGCATATTGTTTCGTAAGATGATGGAGCATGGCATACCGGTATTAGGGCTCGAAGAGGGGGTGAGCAGGTGAGCAGGAGGGATCATCAGACGAGTGGAAATACAGCCAGGATGAGGACGGAAGGGGACATGGCCAAGGATTTGTGAAAAATGGCTACAAGAAGGCGTACAAGAGGGAGACCAGACTATTAAACATCTATCATTGAAACTGTATAAACACAAAAAAAATTAAGTGGCGTTCGGCCTGCCTCGTCGACCCTCGTTCATCTCGCGCAAGGCATTCGAGCTTGACTGTGCAAAATATTTGTTACATTTCCAGTTCAAGCTGAATCTACGCTGGCGCGCAGTGGACGTACATGTATCGTGCGCACTAATTCGCGTGTCTGTTCACCCGCCCCCCCCCCCCGACAGACATGTACAGCCCGTGTGACCGAGTGTGGCGATTTTCCATTGCGGCAAAGTCCACCGTTTACCAATCCATCCCAATCATCATCACTGGACCTCATGTTCGGCCGCCAAGCGCGGCAACGTCGTCCTAGAATGAATTGTCTCGCTCAGCCCCATTGGCCGCTCATCCAACAACCGCCCGTCATTCTCCTCATCCACTTTACGAAAGACGTCGTGCGCGAGTCCACGCCGCGGATCCTCCACCGTAACCCCCCGCCGCGTGCTCTTTGCGCGAATGGGCGGCGGCGAGGGAAACGCAGTGCCGTCGCGGAGAACGGCGACTGGGGGCGGGGGCGCCTGGAGCGGAAGCTCGAGCGACTTGTTCTCCGACGAGGTGTGCGTGGGCAGGCGGTCGACGAGGGGCTTTGTCGAGTTGAGGGTTGCAGCTTCGCTCTCGGCGCCGCGCGAATGGCGGGTGTTTGCGTTTCGACGGCGGCGACGCAGGAAGAGGAAGAGGGCGACGACGAGGAGGGTACCGATGATGGCGCCGACGACGGCGCCCGCTAGAGCTGCGATTTGGGACTTGGGTTTGGGGCCGGGCAGGACGCGGCAGACTTGTTTGAGCTTTGCGTCTGCGCCCTTGGGGTCGGCGGGCGCGACGACGGCGGGCGCCAGTTGGAAGTGGAGGGCGTCTGGGTCGACGATGAGGTAGTTTTGCGTGAAGAAGGGGAGGCCTAGGGTGGCGTATTTGGCCGTTGTCGTTTGGTTGGTCATGGCCATGTTGTAGACGGTGGCATTGCTGACTTCATAGACGCCAGCTGCGTTGTACGCCCGTGGACGGTGGAAGAGCTCAGTGGCTGGGATGACGGACTTGTAGGTTGCGACGGAAGGCTTGGAAGCATCTTTCAGCGGAGCGCCCATGTCGGAAAGGGTGACGGTGATGGTGCCAGTAGGCGCTGTGGTGGCAGGAAGCTCAAATCGCCGCGACGTTTCGTTCCATACTGCCGTCTTTTCGAGACCGGCAAAGATGTCGAGCATCTTTGGCGGCAACTGCAAGTCTGACGAGTAGGGATCCAGATTCACAATAAGCGTGTCAGTGGCAGCTGAGAAAAGTGTGGTGCTTTCGCCGCCGGCATCGTACGTGATGGCTGTGAGAACAGCACATGTTGGACAATCTGCAAACATAGGAAAGGTAGTTCCTGGACTCTTTAGTCTGCTCTCGTCGTAACCGCCGACAACGAGCAGACCGTCTTGTGGCGCCAGTTCAGACTCGGAACCGACCCAAAGGCCATACGTCCTTGATGATGCCTGGCCCGAGTCCACAAGATGGTTGAGAAATGTCGAGTTTACGCCCAAGGGCAGTGTTCCTCTCGAATTCGGGTCATTTTGCGCAAAGGGATCGGCAATTGCTGGGTTCAGTCAGCATGACCCCTTGAGACAATCTTGCTGTCGTGCACTTACCGTCTGTCGTGCCATTTGTATAAATGGGAAATGGGGAGAACTTGTTGGTAGCGGGCTTCAAGCCGAATGCCACAGCATCGTCGAAGAAGACGTATGAGCTCGCAGACACCAGGTCAATGGAATCTCTACTGCCTGGCCAGATTGCATAGTCGACTTGCTTAAAGGAGGTCGAAGTGGCACTGTCATAGATGCCGCCAGATTGTCCAATGCAGCTGCTATTCGTAGCAGCTACACACTCGGCCACGTTGTTGACGAACAAATTGTCCGAAATTGTCGACGGAATCAGTGAAAATGGTTGCGGAGGCGTGCCAACTGTGAACGAGATGCCCCTCGACAAGATGGCATCAGGCACAGCAGACACCGAGTTGTTTGTCCAGGGCAAGAGCAGCGGTGCTGAGCCATTGGGGCAGGCCATGACACCGTAGAAGCCTTCAAGATTGTGTGATCAGTATCGGTTGTATACAGTGCAAAGTTTGCCTTGCTCTGACATCCTGGGGGGCCCTCGATCTATCTCAGTAGGCCAAGAGATCCTTGTTGTTGACGTGCAGGATAAGGACAGGGCTTTGCTGAGATTGTCGACATGGATGCACTGGCTCAAAATCTGGGTCGGGCTCCGATCCAGGATGAAACTGAGTAATGTGACTAGATTCAGTGCCCTACTGATATCTGCCGCTATATCAGATACATTTATGTCTACCCGCACTGAAATGGTCGTGTCATTGCCCAAAACTCGCATTCAGGCATGCAAACTCTGCTTCTTTTTATGATTCCAAAAGTGCAGCACATGCTCTGAAGGTTATGCCACAGGTACATGCAATCCTCTGCAGATTGAAGGTTTGGTTAGTGTGGATGACAAGCAGCCCCATCCATTAGTATAGACGCGATCTACAACCCTGCAGAAGGCCCTGTTGTGGAGTGATCAGGTCTCAAACAAGGCTGGAATTCGGACCGTTGTTGTCGGGAAGTTGTCTACCATATGCGTTCCCGCACATCGAGCCAATCAACGGCTATCGTCTTCTAATAACCTTAAGCGATGGCAGCGATCGTGGTGATCGCTTTGCCCAACCTGATGAATACGAGGCCCTCGAGCCTCGGGGTACCCATTCTTGATGTCCCTTGCTTGTCTGAGTTTCCCATGATCGTCAGGGCTGACTGCCCATGTTCGCCGTTCATCAAACCCTAAGTTCCCCGCCACCTAGTCTTCTATGACATCAGCGGCGTAGATTCGAGTCAGAATAAGTTTGATTGAATGTTCCGCATTGCTCGCCATCAAATCAAGAATGAAGCCGGAAGAGAACCCGTCTACGTAGCGACATTTGGTGCTGCCTCATGGAGACAAGAGGCTGAACTAGACATACGTGGCTGTCCATGCTAAGGCCCCTTGGCAACGACGGCGACTGCCATGACTGCTCGCGGAACAGCTGAGAACCGGCCGAACAATAGCTGGCGAGCGCAAGGCGGCCAGCTTTTTTCCTGATGACGCAAACTTAACCAGACGAAAATGTTGGGGTCTAAACATCCATGAACCAAGCTGCTCGTCATATGCGACGACTCAAGATTGAAAAGCAGAGGAGCGAAAAAAATGGTGTCAAATTGCGTTGTATTAGGGTCCGTCGCAAGGACATGGGCGTCTGGGGAATTCTCAAGGAGTCCTTCATTCGAGGCTGAGCGATGGCACATCGTCATCTCTTCTGACGACTGTACGAAAGGGAGCTGTTCGGGCGAGTGTGCAGAAGGTTTTTTGCGATGGTGATCGTCCTGCAATTATCCTTTCTAGTTCGTCATCTTCAACAGTGTATCCGAGGCGTATCTCAAGATGTTCAAAGCCCGGCCACTGCTTTCGGCCTAGTTGAGCGCCGAAGAAGTCGAGAAGCCATTGCGAATGCAAAAATGGCGCATCAGCGTCGAAAACTACCAGATGTCGCAACATTGGAGGTAGGGCCATCTTGGGAGAAAGATCAAAGTCACCGACTACGTCGTCAAGCCGCATGTTGTCCAATTTGATTGAAAGGATGGCTGCCTGAGGAATGAGCAGCTTGCTCAACTGCGTAAACTTGTCGAAGCGCGGCAGAGGTTTGCGCATGCCCCCAGGTAACGTCCAGAAGCCGCCTGGTAAACGCAACGTCTCCAGAGTTGGCCTGAGATGTATAATAGAGTCGACGAGATTCTGGTAATCCGTAATCTCAGTGCGTGCGTCGTATAATCTTTGGTCCCAATATTGATCCTCTACGTGGAGAGGAAGATGATCTGATTCGTCAGGATAATTTTGTATGTTGGCTTGGTAGTGTGGAAACGCGCGAACACTGCGAAAGGGGTTTTTGCAGTCAGAGCTTTCTGCGTAGAAGTCGAGGTGTTTGAGATGACGGAATTTTTGCAAAAGATCGATCATGTACATCCTCTTTCCATGATTCCATATGCCTACCGTTCTTGTCTGAAAATCCACTCTTAGATGGCGTAGCTCAGACAGGCATGCATTTGACATCTTCTTTGATAACGTTGAAAGTGTGGTCGGAGCGGCGGGAGCGGTGAAGTCGTGCCTGATCTCTTCTGGAGAGATACTAAGATCAAGTATGTTGGTATCTGCGCAACAAGGTAAATGGCCTAGATCAATAAAGCTGTAATTTTCGATTTTGAGATACTTCAAGGTGTGAAAGGAGAGCCTTTTCAAAATGCAGCAGGGGCGTTCTACTTCCGTAATGATCTTGAACCCGATTGGCATGGAAATACACAGTCGTTCAAGTCGTGGCACAAGCGTCAACAATATTGAGACCAAGGTAATCGAAGGGTATTCTTGTGCACACTCTCTCAACGCATGCTTCGAGGTTGAAGGGATTCTAAGCGACTCGATGAGCGCGAGCGTTCGCACGGGGCAGATCTTTCGTCCGTTGAAATGATAATCAAGTTCGATTTCCGGGCGGAGCGATAACCGCAGTTGCTTCACGTAATTTGTCCGCTCCGGATGGGCTACGAGTAGGCGTATCAATGCGAGTAAGTGAGCACAGCTCGGTCTGCCACGACGTGGTTGTAACGTCTCTGGATAGTCCCAATTTGTGACGAGAGGTGCAAAAATTATCTGCTCCGCGACCAAAGGTGATAAGCGCTTGCACGTAAGCGCCAGATTGCGCAGCGTACGGCAGTTTTCTTCAAACTCGTCGATGAGATGCTCTCCTACTAGGTATGAAGTTGAGCAATCCGGATCATACCCCAGTATACGCGCTTCACGATAGAGATCGATGTTTGCAATGATATGGAGTAGGATTTCATTGGGAAGATCAAGTAGTGAAGGCATCTGAACGTTAGAGTGAGCCCTTCAAGGTCGCCGTTTGCTGGTCAAAATGATGTGCTGATGAGTCGGGGTGGTCTCAAGGAATCGCGGGATCGAAAGGCGACTCAGTCGCAGCTGCTTGCAGGGGTGGACGCTGACTAACACACCGCCTTTAAACCTTGTACTGAACATTTCTACATTCTCAACGCACATTAGAGTGGTCTATATCAAAAAACTAAAAAGCCTACTACATCAATCAATACTTCAATTTTATATCCCATTTTAGAGCGCAAGAGCTGTTCATCATGAGGATGTCTCATGGTACATGCTCATGATGCCGAAAATGCAGCACATCAAACTCAGCCATGATTTGTCGTATAAGCTACTATCTCCAAGATCTTTTCATTCGATGCCAATGAAATAAGAGGCATCTCATACCCTCCAAATTTAATCACCATAGATCAGGCGTAGTAGGTGTGGGAATATACAACGCCTAAAAGTTTTGCATAAAGCAGTGGGGACAGACGAGAATATTTACCTTTAGGTGGCGATGACGGAGCATCAATTCCAGTATGATAGGCTTCTAAAAAGCGCGGAGAATTTTGATGTCTCATAAAATTTACTTTGCTAATGAGACAATTCGACGTCCGCAGTTTAGCAGAAGCTCACAGATTAAGTGTGCTTTTGTTGATTCTACAAAATAAGTTTAGGAACCGCACGCAAATGCCATGTTACCGTACGGTATGACATAGAGATCTAAATCTACATGTTAGTGAGACATCATACCGACAGTATCCTAGGGCCTTACTCAAGCTAACACTAGCTACCTAGGCTAAAACAGATTATGACATGTGTGGAAGACGAGTTAGTGCAATTTTATCCTGCTTCAAGACGTGACTTACTTATCTGGCATGAGTACACATGATGTCTTGAGCCCATCATCTTTGATTTATAAGCCTTTCTACGATTTTGTTACCTACCATTGATCCAAGCCAACTTATGCCCCGGGAAATGTCGTGACTAAATAGAAACGAGGATCTTGCATGTAATAGCCTTGATTTAAAGTAATATCATAGGACAGCTAATGATGGTGTATTTGAGGAGCTATCGGCTGTTGACGATGCGAGCTCGAATCCTCGTAACAAAACACGGCCCTCATCAGACATGAGAATGTTTCCGCTGAGGGCATTGTAGGTCACAAGAGGAATTCGGCATACCTTTTATGGGTAGCAGGAAGGAGGCATGTGACCTAGAGGACACGTTCAGTGAGTGTGCTAATGCTACCACTTTATTCACCACTCTGTACGCCGCTTTCCAAGTGCCCGCTGGCGTACGCCAACGCCACTTCAAGTAACAAATTTTCTTGCACTTACAGTTCCAGGCTAACAGCCTCATAAATGCCATCTCGCTGCACCGGTCCCATCAATTTCCACTATGCGAGAACACTATCGCCAGACACAAAATAATTGCTTCATTTGAAATCTATCTTCAAAACCAGCACTCGTATTGGAAACCCCATGAATAGCTTTACTACCTATGAAGGTTTGACTGAAAAATAATCTGGGAAGCCTAGCACTGGCCACGGGAAATTTCAGAACAGTTACTGTTGAGGTTGCAATCATGAGGCTTGTTGCTGTGTTGATGTAAATTGTTTTGTCAAAACTGAAAACCCACGCTTGCGGCATTGAATCTAGCATTGTAGCATTGTTTGGAGTTGTCTAGCATTGGTGATGCCGTTGTTGAGTGTGCTAGTGGCTTAGTTGGCCATGACGATTTGTCGGTTGTAAACGTCTACATGTATACATTCTAGGGACACCTGATGTGAGAGATCATCCTCGTTCAAGATTGAGTGCCATGTTTCGTCTATGGTTCAAGAAAGGGGCCGAATGATGCTTCAAACGCGATGATAGACCCTATCCTGGACCAGTGCGAAGCGTTTGTACTCCTCATGTCCTCTCTGTTTGTGATATTACTGAACATGTTATCAAATGTAACCAATCTCATATACGTGCGAAGAGGGCATTCTATGCATCGTAGTAATGTACTGCCGCCACAAAGTCGGACCTAAGACTACTTAGCGACGTTACAAGAATCGAATTCTCGCACTTAACATGTGTATCACATCACATCTTGCACGCTTCACATACGATCCTTCTTGGAATGTACCAATCTAACCCACATTCGTTCGAGTATATAATGCAACTTTCGACCTCCAGTTTCCACTCAAGTTTACTGTGCTGCCTAGCCAAGAAATACTGGCTAAACAAGACGCTCTTCGTGAATCTGACTGGAGGCTCAGTGTTTGTTTGGGTGGTATCACTATGGCAGGCTTCCGTGCTTGTATCCAGTGTTTTCATCGAATGGAAATGTTGAGCGCTGTAGAATGTAGGAGATGGCGGATATAACACCTAATCTTGTGGCTAGGCCAAGTTTGCAATTGAATAGTTATGCGGCGTAGACATGTCCATTCCCAAGAGACGGAGGGGGTGAAGACATATCTTAGGAACAACACAGCAACATTAGTGACTATAGGTATATCAAGTGTATAATGGGGTGGAATCGCTCGTCAAAAGACTTCTACTATACTCCATCTCTACTCATAACACCTTGTACGGCTCTCACAGCAGACACTGGACATCCCCCATATCCCCCATATCCACCAAACCTCCAGAAATATTCCCCTTCCCCACTCCCAGCCACGCAAGCCCTACACCACATACCGCCATCTCCACTCTCCCAACCGACCAACCGACCATACAATCACTTGCAGACAGTAGCATCTAGCACCCCCTCCTATCGCCCTGCACATGTCATCGCCGATCTACCTTGCGCCAGAATCGAGTCTCGCATTGAACTGCCATGCAGAGAAATAGAGGACAATGCAAGACTGTTTGCCCCTTCATGTAGATGATAGTGATAATTGTAATACACGTATGAGTGGTGTGGTGAGGTAAATTGGTGGTTGCAAACTAATAGTGTGATCTTGTAGGTAAGAAACTAGTAAGAAACTGCTTGTATAGGGAGTGCTCCTGCGTACAATGCGTAAAGTGTTTTCTGGCGTGCGAGGGGCAAGAAAGGTGAGAGTGGATAGATAGGGAGGTAAGTAGGGTTTGTTCGTTGGGTGTAGGTATGTGATTGACCAATAACTAGACATTTATACAGTTTTGCACGTGTAGACAGTGGTGGTGAAGATGATCTAACACAACCAACCAAGTTTCGTATAGGGCCGGATTTTTCCTCGCGAGGAGATATATGCTCTTACCCGCAACTCTTCACAAACCAACAGCATGAAGACGACAAAAAGGGGTTGGCCATCAGATTTACAGTCCAGTGACAGATAGAATAGGCATGTCCGAGGGCTAACCATGCCTTCCACGAGCAGGGCCCATATGTGCAGAGCACAGAACGCCATGTTTACCACGCACAGCTGCTGACGGCCCCTCCTGTTCGTGAAGGCGAATCCAGTCTTCATAGGGCTGGCGTCCTACCTGTCACTCGGGACTGCGACTAGGGTGAACAAAGGTAGTCTACAACACCCACCAGCAAAGAGCTCGCTTCACGCAAGTCAGTCAAGCTCAGACCACCGCACTGCGTGAACGGTTATGGTCTCGAATATTCAGTGTCCCCCACGCAAGCGTGCATTCCTCGGCTTTTAGTGTGACTGAGTGACTTTCTTTTGCTCATTCTACCTGCTCGACAGGCCAACATGATGACCTCGCACCGAGTCTCTGCTGAAGTGTTTCCCCCGTCCCGAATTTCGTCATGGTGCGGATGAAGTTAAAAATATGCACAATAGCATGTGGCATGCGACGTGTCGCAGCTACGTCGCCCTAAGAGATGTCACTGGGAATGACTGTGACGGAGTGACCTGTCGGCCTTGGTGTTGAGTCTCGTAGGGCCAGGATAGCCGCCGAGTGGGGCAGGTTGGGCATCCTGCTCTTGCAAAAAAATGTTGCGCCGGTGCCAAGTGTGGGCCTGTAGGGCAGCGAGGAGCCGCATGACCGGGGGCATGGAACCCAATCGGGTCAGTCTTGGGCAGCGAAGACTCAAAAAGCCGGAAGTATATGAGCAGTGTTGCAATGACTCACATTGCCTTGCGTATCCAGTGTTGCACTAAGACGACCAACGCATAGAGAGGAACAGGCTCCTGTCTCGCAAAAGCTGGCTATCCATGTGAACATGACACGATATCATACGGAAACTTATACCGCCTTTTTGGAGTTGCTTTGTGGGTTGTCTTGGACAGCGCTAGCCGGATGTCCCACCTGTTCTCACATTCCACGGCTAACAGGCACTAGTCTCAATCTGGCACACTGGACGTCTAGAGTACGGACCGCGAGCGGGTAGGTAGATAGATCTTCGGTCAACATCCGGGTAGAAGACGTGGATTCTGTAGGTTTTGTACGACTTTGCGTTGTCTGTGAAGTATTATGTTGATAGTCTGTACGGGAAGGCCTCCCTCTCCCTGAGCATTGGCATCTAGTGTTTTTTGTTCATTTGTCTGCCGTTCGTCAAGTGTGGCTCCAGGCCCCAAACTTGGATAATTTTGACGCAGAGAACAAAGGGACCAAAAGATACTGGCATACTCCTATGCCGGGGAGTATATACCTTGACAATCTCTGGCTTCGGTACATGCCCGCAGGCAGGCACTGCTGGCATGTGCCGGTGTAGCACAATAGCTGCCGATATCGCATAGTGGATGTCCGCAAGAGTTCAGCCATGGACCTTGATGGTTGCATTGATTAGCAATGTGACGAAATGGTTGATTGTCGAATCCGACCCCGCTCTCGCATGGAGTGCGGAGTGCGATTGAATAAGGCGCATCAAGGCCGATCTAGTATAGCAAATGCGCAGCGGCCTGCACAAGGTGTGAAGCCAGTTTCCGTTCCTATCGGGGACAGACTGCATTGATCGGCGCATGATGCCTTTAGATTCTACCAGGTGGCCGGTAGTCACTTACCCTCTGTCGAGAGTCCGAGCAGCATAGAGTACATACGTGCACAGTGCAACGAGAGCGAACGTGGTAGCACAGGCTGCCTGGGAACGAGCAAGACGTGCTCATGATCTCAAGATAAGACGGACGGATGCAGTCCATGGTCGTACAAGACATGAAAGATGTTCTTGGTGGTGTAGGCGTATTGGATGTGAGCGCTCGCTGGAGTCGAGGTCAGACCACTACACACATCCTTCGGACGATCGTGGAGATTCACAAACGGTGAGGAGATGGACGAAGCATTTCGACGTGTATGTCAACCTAGGTGTCGTCTACCTCTGTCGTTTGACGGGATAAGCTGAGCAAGCGGGCATGAGAAGTAATCCTCTCGCGACTTCGCCAACACACATTACAAAGTAGGGCAAAGGTGGACAGTGATTGAGAGGACCAAGGCATTTTGAAGCATGAGGCGGCCCAAAGCCAATTTTTTTCTGAATGTGATTTTGTCAATGCAAATCACAGCTCAGCCATGAGCTCATCACCAAATCGCTGAGGAGTGGCGCATCTCTGACAGGCTTGCCGAGCGCCCAGTTTCCTCGATCGCCTGCAGCTCTTCACCGGACAGTTAAGTAGCGGGGTAGCGTCTATATAGAAGTGACGAGTAAGCGACGGTTGCCAGGCCGCGTGATGGTGGACTTGTCGGAATCGAGTTGACAAGGTTACACGGATACAGTTGTCTCTGTACAGTTGGACAAATGCTGAATGTGGTGCGCTAGCGGGTGGGGGGAAGTCGTTCTGGAAGGTCGTGATTTGCGACGACATGGCGAGCCTTTGCCAGTCATGGTCGGTGGCGGAATGTCTGAAGCGGGCGTGTGGCAAAAGGACAGATTGTTCGCGTCGCTGCGACATTAATGAGCTGTGACCTTTGTCGAGAGTGCTCTGTTGTTCCTGCATGGCAAGCGCGAACTGACGTGGCCGGCCCAGGGTGAACAAGGCATAGCTGCCATCCAAGACCGCATCCCAGAGGCTGATGACGCGAATGATGAGGATGGCGAGACTGAAAGCCAACACGGCGATTAAGGCTAGGTAAGGATTGGTTCCCCTGCAACCGTTCACGGTGTGGGGTGTGCCTGTTCATAGGTGAAAGGGGGAGAGGGGGGGGGGGGTTGTCGTGTTCGTAGGTATAACAGTACTCTAGTAGTAGAGGTCGAGATGGGAGAGGAGAGGAGAGGAGAGTAGCTAGACAGCAGGATGCATTCCATGGAGCCCCATTGGGGATTAGTGGGGGAATAGCGCCCGTTACGTTTGGGGCGTGCATTACAACATTGAAGTATGGGTATGTTAGCAGACGCTCCCAAGCTTTCCAGGCCAAGCTAAGAGTGTGTACTGTCACTGTGTAAGTAGAGTAGGTAGGCTAGATTACCTAGCTGAGCGGTGAGATGGGCTTCCGGCCGGCGGACGAGGGAGTGGATTCAAGAGCATCCAGCATTGCGGGCCAAGGGCGAGGGCAAGGACAAGGGCAAGTCCCGGTTTCAATTCGTTCGACCAAAGGGGCCCTGCCTCACAAAGCAGAGGAGGGCGAGAGGAGGAGTCAAGCTGGCGTCGTTGGCATGTCTGACACTGGTGTCGCGCAGCTGGATAGGGCAGCCAATCACACAGTGTGCCTATTATTACACATGGGGGTTCGCCATTGATCATCAGCAAGGCGAGAGACGAGACGTGTCGCAGGTGGCGGCCAGCAGCACTCTCGTGCACGGTGACTGGTATTCTCGACCGTGTGAGTGTGGAGATGGGTACCTGGGCTGTATGTATCTATAGGACAGTACGGAGAGAGAGAAGAGAATAGTAGTGACTGCACGAAGCAGGTTGGGCACGAGCAAACGACTTAGGTACACTAAGCTAAGGTACCTGCTCATTGGCGACTGCGCACAACGTGCAGCGCGCAGCATGTGTGGTGAGGCAATGGGGGGGGGAGGGGGTAGAGTGGAGTAGAGCAGAGAGTACTTGTACTATACTACACTCTGTCTTTTCACGTTGTTCTCATGGCTCTAGGCCAATGAAAATAACCAGCACGCGGCCTCACACCAAGTACCTACCTACTACTCTAGAGTAGAGTATGTACGTCTATGGTAGAAACTGGCAGGAGCCACCCGGGCACAAAGGAGGCCCATCCCGTGACGGAAGGAGCAACGCGGCGGCGGGGGGACATGGGGAAGGTGCACATGTGGGCTGGATGGAGAGAGAAAGGGCAGCAACCCGACAAATGGGCAGCAACGAAGGAAAGCCGGGGCCCAAACTGCCTAGTCTCTCTCTCTCTCTCTCTCTCTCTCGCTCTCTCTCGCTCTCTCTCGCTACTACAGTGTGTGAGTGGAGTGTCTGTGTGCCTGTGTGTCAGTGTGTGCACTGTGCGCCCAACGTCGATTTCCAACCAGTCACTGCTCACTCAACGTCTGCTTCAACAGTGCCATGTATACATACTACTGTACTAACTAATGTCATGTACCCAAGTAAGTTGTACCTACTATTAGATGCAAGTCACGCAACCCATGAAAAGAACTAGCAGCCCAGCGACAGGGTCATGTTTACAAGTCCCGCCACTCTGTCCACCCGCCCGTTTTGAAATTTTGCTTTGCCGTGGGAATCTTTTTCATACAGCGCGAAAGCCCGAATTGCGCCTGCATATGCTGCCACACCCGTCCGTCATACGCTGCGTCGCCTGGCCTCAGATTACTTTTCTCCCTCGTCCCCCCTCCCCTCCCTCCCTTTCCCTTCTGCTGCAAACCCCTACTCACACTCCTCTCTCTTTCTCTCCTTCTCCCTTCTCTCCCTCTCTCCCTCTATCCCTCTATCCCTCTCTCTGCCTCCAGTCTCCCTGCAACTTGCACTTACACTTGCACCTGCCATTTGCCCGTTGCCCGTGTCCTTGCCCTTGCCCTTGTCCCTTTTTCTTCACTCGCACATGACATGGGACGCCAGCACAACAACACAAAATTTCTCAACCGACCGGCAATGCGCGCTCCACTTGTGACTTTCGCCTGAATGCATTGTTAAGGATCGCCCCGCAAGTCTATTTTATCGATAGCCGCTTGCGCTAGACGTGAGAGCGCGACCCGCCCACGCCCAAAGCCCATCATCACTTGACAAAACACTCGCCGTCGCCGCCCGCCCCCCGCCGCCGCCGCCATGGCGACCGACTCCCAGGACTACCAGGCCTACGTTGAAGAATACCACTCAGACCAGAGCGACGCCGTCAACTTCAAGGGCCGCAAGTCGCCTTCCTCGCCCGCTGTGGCTAATGTATCGACAAAGCGCTCGCATCCCTCGGACCTGGACAAGGAGAAGCCGCCCGCGCAGCAGCAGCAGCAGCAGCAGCAGCAGCATCAACAGCACCACCAGCAAGACAAGGTGCACGCCAACGTCGACCAACGCTCCGACTCTGGGTATTCAAGCATCACACACGCGACCGTAGGCTCCGCTGATTCGGCTCCAAGTGCCACGTCCCAACAACCACGCAGCCCGCCCGTCGCACCTGCTGCCCCCTCGACGACAAACACGACGACGGCCACTACTGCCGCTGCCTCTGCCACGGCCGCCCCTTCCCACAGCACCTTCTCCGCACCTGCTCCGCCTGCACCCGCACCCGCACCCACACCACCCGCGCCCAAGACCAGGCGGCCCACCATCTCCCAGCGCATCGACAGCAGCCGTCCCGAGTCGCTCTCTCGCAGAGACTCGCACGCCTCGAGGCCTCCTCCCCAGCGTCGTCCCACCATCACCACCTCGCAGGAGAAGAGGGACCGCAGGAACAGCAGGGTAGCCGACGCGGTGTGCACTGATCCGAACTGCACTGGCTGCGGCCCGACTGCCCCCTCGCAGCTGCAGCGTCGCCGCCCAGACCTGCAACAACCCTCGCAGTCTGCGCGCGACGTTTCCAGACTCAACTCCACTTCTGACCAGCGCTCGATGCGCTCGGACCCGTCCACGTACTACTCGTCACCGCCCTCGCCCACCTTCACTCGCCCACCGGCACAGTACAGCCAGGGCGCCGCTGTCATCCAGCCAGCCATGACACGCCCTCGCGCATCCTCCCGTGCTGCCTGACCCATGAGTGACAGCGGGGAGCCTGGCCCCCAATACCATCACCCGGCCATGGCCGTTGGCTACCCCAGTCCTCCCCAAGAGCGTGAACGTGGCCCTCCTCCCTCCAACTCTGCAACCTTCCAACGCGGCGTGCCCCAGTACCACCACATGCCGCCGCCCATGCCTTCCTACATGAGAGGGGCTGCCCAGACGCCAGCCTACTACCCTCCTCAGTACAACCATAACCAGACGTCTCCTCCGTACGAGCCTCAGCAGCGCCCTGGTCTGCCACAGCGTCGGTCGTCTGTCTATGGCACGCACGGCACCCGCAACGGCGGTCCAGCACCCCTGGTCACACAGGCACCGCGGGAGCCCACGAGGCCGTCTGCGAGGTACGGTGGCCAGCCGCAGAGTGCAACACAACCTACCTTTCCAGCACCACTGCAGATTGGAAATGAGCCCTACGACTCGTACAGCAGCTCGGAAGACGACTCTGAGTCTGAAGAGGAACAATACCAAGCCCCAGCGGCTCGTGCACCACGTCCACCTCGTGCACCTCGTGCACCCCAACCACCCCCGGCAGCACCAGCTCCACCGGCTCTCATGGCTCCGCCCAAGATAAAGCGCTCCAAGAGCAAGGCACGGCGTCCAGCAGCCATGGTTCATGCGCACACCACTCAGGGCCCCGACGTCGACCGCAAGAGCCGTCGACAGTCCATCATCCAGGATCACCGCTCTGGCAGGGACATCGACACACATGATGCCGAGGGTCTCCCCGTCCGAACTCGCAGCCGGCCTGCACCTGCACGTACGCAGTCGGACTACATCACACCAAGAGGACAAGTGACTGTCAACAAGGCTGATCGTCGTCGATCAGGACAAGTGTACGACTCGCTGGACTACGAACAATACCGTAGGGACAGGGCTCGCCAGGATGCCCACAAGGCCCTCGAGGCCAAGGAAGCTAGAGCTGCAGAAAGAGCTGCAGAAAGAGCTGCCGAAGCCAGGGCCATCGAAGAAGCCAAGGCTCGTCATCTCGCCAAAGCTCAAGCTCAGGCTGCCCATGAACAGCGATATCAGGCCGAACGGTTGGCTGAACGCAAGCAACAAAGCCGCAAGTCTCGTAGCTATCATCCTCCTGGTGCTTTTGATAGCGAGAGCGAGGAAGAGGACGACGACGATGAGTCCGAGGAAGAACACAACCCAGCGCCCATTGTTCTCCGTCGGCCTCGACGACCCACCGATGTCGAACAGTCCAAAGGCAAAACTGCCTTGATTACGAAATCGAAGCGCAAGACTGACGCAGCCGAAGACTACATTAGTGCTCAGCGAGGCAGCCGCGACTCATATGCAGACCAGGCATACCAAGTTGCAAGACGCAAGTCGCGTGAAAACCTATACTCTGACGATTCAGGCTCTTCTCATAGCAAGGGCAGCGATAAGCAGAGCCAATCCAACCGTACTGCCGTCACCAGCAACGGTTCCAATGAGATCAGGCTTCGAATCGATGCCACAGCTCCGCTCAGTCTGGCCTTCAACGGTGATATGGAAGGTCGTAATCTACAGATCGTGCCTACTGGCGATGGCATGGCTGATATCATCATTGGCGGCCGCAACGGCGAAACCACTTACCACGACAGTGAACGTGGCAGTATCATGGGCAACACACCCAAGGCGATCATGCCAGCCCAGGCCCGGAGAGATGCAGAGGAAATCATGACCGAGAGAAGCGGACGCAGCGGACGCAGCCGGCGAGACAGTCGGGTCATACGGGACGTTCGTGATGACCGCGACAGCGAACACCACCCGCTGCGACGTTATCGCAATTAGCTGCTTCCCTACAGGCAGCTGTCGACCCATTCGTCACCAAGTGGATGCCACCCCTTCCCTTCCCCAAAGGCAAGACCAAGCCTGCAACACGCATTCTCAGCCTCGGCTTCGACATTATTGCATCTGATTTCGCCTTATTCACTTCGGTCGAACAGTGTAGGTTCAACTTTCAATTCATCACGAGGGGAGCCGGCATCCGTCGATAGTCCCAGAAAACGAAAACTATGGTTCGAACTCGAGTACCCGCCTGACGCGGAAATGCTTGATTTGCTTGCAATCTTTGCCGGTTACTGCACCTTTCATCCGCAGTTTTCTTCCTCTTTGCTGCGTTTGTGGAAAAATTGTGGGACATCTGTTTGTTTGCTAGATTGGAACGCTCACGCACACCACCGTTGCACGCGCGGGCCATTGCTTCCTGAGGAACGAGATTGTACGAATTGTTGGATCTCATCACAAGCATCTTGCTTCCATTTTCTTCCAAAATCCTTTCCGCCTCTTTGCTACTTCCTCTTCTCGCACTATACCTACTCCTCGCGGAGGCACTTGGGATTCTTGGTTGGATGTAATACCCCCCTGCACATGTTTTTTTTATTTTCTCTTACGTTTGCACCATTTGCTGTAGTTTGATTGCTTTTTATATCTCTTTTCTTTGCAAAAGCGAGCGAGCGTATATGAATGTTGGGCAGCGAGATACGATGGTACGATGACGGATGATGGCACGTGGATTATGATGGTCACGCAGCGTTGGATTTCGTTTTATCCTTGTTTAGTTAGCGCGAGTACGTGAGATGCACATTAGTTTTTGGAACCTCGATGAGCATTGTCAGCTAGCCTGCGTGCGGAAGTCGAGGCGAATGATAGTATCTGCTTTTCTTTACCCTTATAATCCTTCTGTTCCACATTAAGTGCACCTTGCTTTATCAAAACTTTCGGGCGGAACCGATGCTTATCGAGCCCCGATTGAGGCAAACTTGCACAAAAAAGTAACTACTTGTGAACTGTTTTATTTGCGAGAGTTCCTAGGGTGGTAAGCAAATGATTTCCAAACTCAGGAACATATCATCGCGGCGGGCCCATTTTGGTGAAGCTTAACGGGCTGAGTAGTTAAGAATGTAGTAGGCCTGCTCAGCAAATGGTGTTGAATGTAGGTAGATTGAGTTTATTCAAGGGAAATTCGTGATGTACAGCTTAGGAGGTACATGTTTTATGGATGGGAGTAGATCGTCTTATTGTGCGGACCTGAATAATTGACAGCTAAACAAAGGTAAAGATATGGTACTTGACATGCATTGCTGGGACAGATAAGGCACAATGTGCAGAAGATATATGGTATATCTATGGAATGTATTATCAATTGGCACTGGGAAATTACTAAACAGGCCGCTACCTGGTGATTGACGTTACAACCGCTTGCTGACATGAAGGATGATCTAGGAAGTGAACTTTTGATGCCATGTCCATTTGGTCCCAGCCAATACATGACGTAGGTATGCCGTGGATCAACTACCACACTTTACAAATCACGGCTGAGATTTCGTCATTCCACTCCGTCTTAGCAAAGTTGTGATCACCCTCCCCAAGTTCGTTGAACTTATCTTTGCAATTGGCGTTCCTAGGACAGTTTAGTAGTACACTAGAAAATAATCAATCAGGTGGATTTACATAAAGAATCTGCACTTGGCCTTTGGATCGCTAAGTTCAACCCTAACGCCGGTCATTTGGTCGTTCTCTTGAAATCGAGCTACTCTTGTAATTAGCATTGGGGAGGAGGGATTGTATACTGCGAACACTGACTGCATATCTCGTTTATGATAACGACTTTCAATGGGAGATCGACCGTGTTGAAGCAGGTAATATAGACACCGAGTGTAGTTGTGACATTGGCACCATAGGCTCAGCTAGCCAACAAGGCACCGTAAAAAACAGTCGATAGCTGAACCATGTTGCGTTGCTATTGTTGAAAACGGGAGCGTTTAGAAGAACAGAGGGTTTAAAAAGAGAGGCAGCACCAGAGTAGTCTGAGGAAGTGAGAATGAGATGAAAACCATCTAGTGATGGGAAACAAGCAGTCCATTCATGTGTGTGTCGACAGAGAGGTTGCCGCATTTGTGGCACGGCTTTTCGGCGATATTGTTATCCAAGATGATGACCTTTTTTTTTGGTACTTGCATTACTGTTATACTTGTTAGGTCGTGTTTCACAATATAGTAGAACATAGAATAATGCTCTCTAAATTTAATGCACAAGAGCCATACCGGTATATTTAGATGAGAAGCCGAGCACGTAGGACGGTGCTATGGAATCTGCCACATATATGGCATCTACCCCTGTATGTACGAACCTCACAGATATTACAGCAGATTTCAAGTGTTGCTTACAGAAACTACTCTACTTACGATGATCTTTAGATTACATTCACAAAAGCTGTGTGTCGACATAGGAAGCTAAGCCGATAGGACCGTGCTATAGTACCTGCAGCATGTATAATGTTTACCCCTGTCTGTACAGCATAGTCTTTCGGGTACCAGCAAGCGCTGCTTACAAGCATCTTACTACTTACGATAATATGGAACACAAGTTATCAATGCTGTTACCTTTTTTTTTGTCCTTAGCATGGCTAAAGACACAATCTCACCACTGACCTAACATTGCTCTATGTTGGAGCAAAGCTTCCTATGCCTCTGACCGATCCTAGTGTAAATATAGAGGCCTAGGGAAAGACAGCGGCGTTATGATAGATTCGTAACCCTAACCCTGTCCCTATTCAGTAATAGTACAGAGAATGATTGGGATTCGAATAATTAGAGGATGAGAGAGATAGAAGAATGGGGCCTTGAGAATGCATTAACCCCAGTATTAACTGGTATAGAATAGAATGTAATATATTGGAATACAATAGTATTAGTCTCTAAGCTTAGCCATCTCCATAGGACCCATTGTATGTTGTTTCAAGTGATTTTTACGTGTTAAGGGGGATGCTACGTTGCTAAGACCTACAGCATAGTTACTACTACTATATTATTATACACATGCTTCTCGCCTTGGTCACACAAGCTGTAGACTAGTAATAAGGAATGGAGATTCGATAGTGCTTACTATATCGTAAGGCGCGATTTCTACCCTCGCCACGCTATGCAGACACATACCTAGGTGCGTAGAATCTTTAGGTCTGAATCTCTGAGTCTACGATGTTATTGAGTATGATCTATAGGCCCGCATGCATCAGACCATACATAATAACTCGACAAGTCTTGAAATGCAACCAGTGACGATCAACAAGGGAAGTCAATCGGGCTACGATTAGCACAACTAAGATCACGGGCACAAGCTTGATCTAAACAAATCTTGCCTTGATCGAAGACTGTGAAAGACCTGGGCCTCTTAATTGATCTGAAACGCAGGACGTAGTCTGGCTAAGTACACGGATGATATGGCAGGACATACTATGTAAGGCGAGGAGCACACAAGACCAGAGTTTCAGCTTTGGCATTAACTTTTTAAATCATCAACGATTAATAACGCAACCAAAATCGTCAGCGAATAAGCGGCATTAACGGGATAGACGCGCTAGTCCTCGAATAGCGCGTGAATATCTAAACAGTACATATGTCCTCAATTGCCCCCTGTGGAGACAAGATATGGTAACTATGTGTCTGGAAAGAATCCAACGATGATCTGACGAATCCTTCTTTTCTGACGTCCAAGCCACAAAAATTGACACACTACTCCTACACAAACTTCTTTGGCAATGAAGGCGCTAATAATAACATCAGTATTCGACTCGGCCCAGAACGTCGTTCCAAGCATACTGTGTACGTGGTCACTATCCGAACAGAATGTACAGTACCATAAGCAGCAGTCAAGTCTTGTCCATCATGTTCTAAAAATAATGAAGCGCCGATTTTGGAGATCCATAGAGTAGGACTATACCTAACCACATCCACCGATGCAGAGAACAAGTACCATCGCTACCTAGGTACTCCCTGCTTTTTGCATGTACCTATGCTTGCCCATCGGAGAATACTACCTGCGCTATTCCTTTAGATTGACTGTAAAATCTAGCCTTCATCACCCTGTATTTTGTACAACCTGTGGCCTTCTTGCGACTGCTGCATGTTCCAATAATCTCCTACCCTCTCCCTTGTAATCTTGTCCTAATGCCCTTTGAAGATTGTACTGGTATATCCTGCACCGACATGATGCCATGTCCCTATTCTCTCACCAATGTCGTTCTAAGAAGCATTTGGCGTCCTTTTCCGATCCGCTTTTACCTAGCCCGTCGCCTTGACTTCTCTCCCTTTAGCATCTGAAATGCGGCAGTGTTGGTGCTTGGGATTGTTCTGCTTGCGTATGAGTTGAGTGGATTCAGAAATCCAAGTTGGTCGGGAGCGCGTTGTTGTCAATGGGAAGGAGATGCTCATTCGTCATTAGGTGTACATCACGCAAGGCATGATGCTATGGGATGTTCAATTAATAGATTGTGAGCGAATTGTGAACAGCGTGAGGATGTTTTTAGGAAATGAATTACTATGTGGCGTATGATTATTAATATGATAAACACCGTAAAGTCTCACAAAAATATGATTACAACTCTTAGTAAGCCCAGAAAGCAAACCAGATCAGTTTTCCCAGAATATAACGACCTTGTCTAACAACCCAAGGTAAAGAACGAATGGACGAGCCCTAAACCCTCATCTTCGGTAACCAACACCCAAGATCATCCTGCGAAACTTTCGTATACGCTCCCTCATTCTTCAACCTCTTCTCCTTCTCCGCCCAATCCAGTGTCTTTTCCTCAGACTTGAAGTCCAAGTCTCCAAGCTTCGAGATTATATTCGACGGAATTCCAGTTGCGGCGTCGTACTCAGCTTTAATGAAAAGTGAGCAATCACGCAGTGACATGGCAGCGCGGAGGTTGAAGTTGATGGCATTGCTTGTATCCATGTTATTCTGCCAGAGCACGCCATAGGGGTCGAGCTTGGATTGCAAAAATGCAAGGTGTTGTAGGAGCGTTCGGCCGACGCCGGTAGTCAGGTAAGCGAGCACCTGTTCTGTGATGCCTTGGACGAGTCGCGGAGCCGTGGTCGCTGTGGGGAGCAATTTGGAAATGCGTGTGGAGAGCCAAGGACGTATATGGTTGGGAGTGCCGTGGAGGAGTAGAAGTGGGCATATGTAGTTGGCTCGATGTTTGGGTAATAGGGTTTGCATGGCACATGTTCGGCAGCGTATTGCCCCCGCAGGAGCGTCGGGGGACTGAAGAAGCCACTTTGGTTTGATTTCCAGCATTACCGATTTGTTTGGGACAGGAGACATGTCTTCTAGAAGAATTGCCCAGCACATTTCTGAAGGTCCGTCTTGGGGTCCGACGAAGACGTCCTTGTTGGCTAGAGATCGGAGAGTGCAGACGGCGTGGGGGAATAGTATAATACCTTTGTGATCCATGAGATGTTGGCAAAGATCACCTTGCATTGATCTGAGTGTTGCTTGTATGACATTCCCATTAGTATCAATACGAAAACCAGACATCTGAGCAGCTGTGTGGCCTGTCTCTGCCGGTTGGAACAGAGGCTTGATGAGCAGATTGAAGCTCGACAGAATCTTATCACCTGAAAGCGTCTTATCTTTACCCCGCGGGACTCGAAGTACTCTTCCGGCAAGCTTCTCACGAGACAGAGGTTGAGCGGTAAGACACTTGCGATCTGTCTTGTACAATTCAATTACAAGCTGAAAGATGGGCTTCGAGGAGACCTTCTCGATGATGACGACAGATGAGGGATGAATTGTGAAGACGGCGTTTGCAGCCCCTTTGTTTAGATAACGAAAGGTAAACCCATCGCCTCTGGGGCAACTGCCTGTATGGGTCACACAGCAGAGCTCGTGTATGTCGGGGGTTATCGCTAAGGTGAACTCCCACGGTTCTCCGAGACTGAACCTCTGGTGGGGATAAGAAGGTCCGCCTCTTGTTATCAGTGCCGATGTGTCTCCTGCCATGGTTTGTGTGGAACAGAGTAGTAGTCAAAAGTACCAGCAGTGGTAAGGCTGGCAAGGCCGACGTCCTTGCTTTGGCGTATATGATGGTGTTGATGTGCAGGCGAGAGCATCTTCTCCAGAAAACTATAACGCGTAGCCTGCAGGTGCCACAGGATCCAGGCGGTTGGAATGCGCGCAGCAACGATCGATATCCGCTCTTTCCCAACGAGTTTTGTCCAGGGGGACCGCCGTAGGTCTATCTTCTATCTTTTGATGGGAACCGTGAGATGTGACTGGCAGGTTTTGCAATGAAGTCAACCTTCAGCCAGGTGAAGCTTGAATATTCACAAGCGGCCGACTTTCGTGAGTCCGCCAACAATAGCTATCGAGGCAAGTCAAATGGTTCATATTGCGTGAATTCGCCGTGTCATGTGCTGAATTGAGGCGGTGGGCACAAAGGCTCGTCCCGTCGATGGTCAAGTTTCGCGTCTCTGACGTAAGCCTCGGCAGACCAATCACATGACGGAACCGCAGTCCCCTAACCAGAACGCGACGTCGACACCTTCTATTGAGTACGCACTGGCACTGGTGACTGTTGTACTGTAACACTGTAAGCCCCATATTCTGCTACAGCTCACCACAGTGTATCATCATCATTTCATTGCTAGCGGTAGAGCTATATACCCTCGAAGATGCCTGCACCATCGCCTCTGCCCACCTACCTCTACAAAATCCTCCCCTCGGCCCCTCCATCGCCCCTCCCTGCACGCCTCCCACTCTCAGACCTCGATCGCAACGACGGCTATATCCATCTATCAACATCAGAACAAGTGCCTGGAACTGCTGACAAGTTTTTCGGCAACCTATCCGAACTGTGGCTGCTGATGATCAGATATGAGGTCTTGGCTGCAGGCACGGATGGCGATGGCGAAGTAAAAGCAGGCAGCAGGGCGGACGTTAGGTGGGAGGAAGTGGGGCGTGGCTGTTTCCCCCATCTTTATGGGGCTGACCTGGGAATGGGCAATGTGGAGAGTGTTGATAGGGTAGAAAAGAGGGGAAGCTGGGCTGAGTCGCTCAGTCTTGCATGGTGAGGCCTTGCCACAACCTGCGCGTATGCCGTCACTACACGACTCCAAACCGCGCTGAAATCGTATAGAACATTCATGATACGATAATAGGACACCCCTATCTTCACATGTGCTCCCAACCATGCTGTCGCCTCTTTGCCATGCCTGCCACGGAATGCTTCTTCGACTAGGGACCAATCGGCGCCAGGATCGAGAAGACTTGTCAATGTCGCCAAAGACTTGCCATATATGCGCCAATATAGAGCATCGCCTTCGGATTTGGAAGTATGAACTTCTTGACCTTGAGGAGGTCGCATTTCGCGTAATCGAACAGTCGCTTGAGCACGTTAAGATATCTATCGATTGGACAGCCAAATCGCAACACGAGGACAGTTTTTACATACACGTGGAGACAGGAATTGGTAGGTGTGATTGGAATACACAAATGCTCATCTTAAAACGTATATTGACTCCTCGCATGGAAGGCCGAACAACTTCTGGTCCGGTGACCGAAGCCGACACATGCGGTTCGGCTGCGATCTCGTTCTTGGGTTCCAAGTTACGTCAGTGTCTCCACAGCGATACACACGGTGATTGTCAAAGAAGTGATCGGGAGATTGCACCATACTATCCTACACGTCTGCTTAATGTCAAGAATCGACTCATTGTCACCGTTGAGGATACTGGACCACATACTGAAGGACTCTATGCATCACTATCGCATTGCTGGGGTAAGTCACGCCTTGTGCAACTGACATGTGAGACTGAACAAAATCTGCGCAACGGCTTAGACATAGATTGCTTGTCGAAGACTTTTCGTGAGGCGATCCGAGTATGTCAAGCACTGGACGTCTCGTATATTTGGATCGATTCACTCTGCATCTTTCAGGATAGCGCAACGGATTGGCAAGAGCAAGCAGCGTTAATGAGTAGAGTATATACAAATGCACTCTTCAACATAGCTGCCACAAGTGCCAGAGATGGGTCCGTCGGGCTGAAACATGCCCAGTACCCAAGAGTACAGGAACCATTCCTGCTATCAGCTCCAATATGCTTCTGGCGTCCAAAAGATGAGCGTATATCCACGATCCCTGACGATGGGCATGTATCAACCACCTATGTCGTCAGCTTTCCTAGCTCATTTGACATGAATACGACAGACCCCGTTGAAGCACCTTTGAACCGAAGAGCTTGGGTTATGCAAGAATCACTTCTTTCCCGGCGTATAATGCATTTCACCGCTTCCGGAGTTTATTGGCACTGTCTTAGCAACCTAGCCAATCAAAGCTACCCCGATGGTCTCCCTCATTACTTTGAATTACTTCCAAAAAGCGAAGACAAGCTGTTTCTAGCCAAAAGGAGCACAACCGGAAACTCGCATATAGCAACTGCCTCGAAAAATAAAATTTATGATATCTGGAACCGCGTTTGCTCCGAGTACAGCGACAGGAAACTGACAGTACAAAGCGACAAACTTGTGGCTATCAATGGTATTGCGGACCGAATCGCTAGCCTCAATAGTGACAGGATCATCTGCGGTCTGTGGGAACAACGTTTACTGCCACAGCTGCTGTGGTATCTAAATGCAAACCACAACCCCCCTCGTCCCTTTCCTGACGCCTGGATTGCCCCGAGCTGGAGCTGGGCGAGTCACAACAGGAACATGAAGCACGCAGCACACCTATGGTGTGACCATGGAGCGCCAAAGGCTGAAATCGAAAGAATTCATGTGAACTCACACGCGTCCGGCCAATTGCGAAATGATCATGCGTCCTTGACTCTCCGCGGTAAACTTCTTTCGGGCTTCTTAGATGTACATGCAGACCGTCCATTTTTCCCCTACCAGCATACAAAAACTTTTTTGGTCTGTGGGACTTACAGCAAGCAAATCGAGCTGGCCATGCTCGACCTTTACATTGACGGGGCCAAAGATTTCCAAGGAGAGATAGTATGTCTGCGTATCTATGAGGATACCTGCGACGAGAAAGCCGATAAGTACGACTATTGGGATTGGCGCACAGGATCACTCATTCTACAAAAAGTGCAGTCTGGTCCTGCTGATGAATACCGGAGAATTGGTATCCTTCTACTCAAAGAAGATGAGCTAGTGTTCTACGCGGACCACGAGAGTGCAGAGGAGCACAGCGTAACTATAATATGAGAGAATAGCTCTGCGGGAACAAAGCCATATCAAAGCTCATAATATTTCGATTCTTCAACGCCGCCAGCTTTTCGAAATCCCGCTCTATGTTCCATGAAGTCAGGGGCACGAACTGTTTATCAAGCTTTTGAGTCCTTATGAAGTAACCCATATAAGTTTCCATCCTCTGTCTTCGTTGAAAGCACAGTGGCCAGCACCCTCCAATGGTAGCATCGTCCGCGTTACCATGCTTTCGCGAGGCGCCAAATATGGAAACAACGCACATTTAGACTGACGTATGATGATATCATGAGATTAAGGGGAAGTCTCGTAACTAAATGTATAGTTATATCGAAAGTGTCCAGTTATCAAATACTGCCGTCGTTGAAGATGTCAACGCTAAACTCGAAATTTGGGTCCAAGGACACGTTCAATCCTATCAACCTTAACATACCCTACATTATCCATGAAGAAGTATACGTCATCTCTTATGAAAACTTTTCAGTGCTGTTAAAGCATGTGAAACAAGAGATCGCCGCGGGCATGGCGTGACCCAACCATTACTCTTGCACAGATGTCTTTTGACCTGCCTTATAGATTGTGAGATTCCGGTTATACTTCATGCAACATCGGCCTTAGGATGCTCCGAGTATTTGTCATCGACGATTGTAGATGCGTTTCTACTTGCCTTGGAGTTGTTGAGAAGTGGCTTAAGTCCCGGTAGCGAAACGACAATTATCGACAGTGTCACCTCCACCATGCTAAGAGGGTCTTTGCATGACCAGTCAGTATGTGCCATCCGTACTATAAATCCCTTGGAAGTAGACTCACAAACAAGGTTCTCCTGGCCGGTCCCGACCTTCAAGCAGACGAAGCGCACAATACCAGAGCAAATAGTCAATGCTCCCAACACAAAGGTAAGCGTAACACCCAGCGATCCTTTAAGCACACCACGAGCCAGAAGTATCACCGGAATAGCGTAGACAATTAGATAACAAGCCAGATTGAGCGTGAAGTTGAGGATGAACGGTTCTGGGGCATAGAACACTGAGCAAGCGCCATCTTCCTGGCTCCACTGCACCGAGACATTGCTGCCGCAGAAGAAGGTGTCGTCAAAGAGGATAGTCAAGTAGCAAATTACTACAAAGGTAGTCATGCCATATAGCATCTTGCGTAATACAGGATGGGAGGAAAGATTGAAGAATGCCCAGTAAAAGGCGAGCATGCTGAGCTTAGGGAAGCCCATGCCGACATCGTAGAAGTAGTTCGAGGCAAAGGATATCTGTAACCCGTCCCGTTAGTACCAGTATCAACGTGTTCGGGTTATTCAGAGGAACTGACCTTTGACAGCTTCACGCTGGTCTCGTAATTGTCTAACACACCCATCTTGTATGTGAGCGTATCACAAATAATCAATGCCAACGCGTCGAGAGCAGAAGCTATCAGGAGCCAGTCAGACCAATCCAGCCTTCGTTGCAGCCGGAAAAGACGAGTGTAGATGCGCGCAGCGACAAAAACATAGGCTACAACAAGAAGAATCCATTCTGAGATCTGTTGCAAGCGATATTGTTAGTATTGTTAGATAATTGCAGTCGTTTGCGAAAGCATGATGCGTGATTGTGACACGGCCGCTTACCATGCAATCCTTGCCATCGATGAAGTACGCCATGTTGTCCAACTTGAGCACCGAAACAGATAGGAATACAACAAAAAGTATGGGTGTAAAGGCGTAAAGTTTATCGCAAAATACCATTTGATGGGCGATTTCTTAGGCATTGAGAATGGCTTATGCGAAGATTCGGGGTTGACTAATGGAGTACATCGTCCGCGTGTATGGTACACATCGAGAAGGCGTTTAGCAACCTGCATATCATACCACCTTGAGTATTGTTACCAATGCTCATCAGGAGGTTGCACATGTCATGCAAGGTGTTTGATCCTACAAGAGCTCATTCGTGATCAATGGCCGGAAGAATTTGTACACTACTGTGCGGCGTAGTTTAAGTGGCGTGTTCGATAGATGGCTTTCGGAAACGAGCTCCGAACTGCAGTGCGCTGCCTGCCCTGTTAATCCAGCAAAACAGTAGAATTATGAGTTTTTCAATGTTGCGCAGGCGGCGACTGGCATATTCTGGTTCTGAGTGGCACATAAGCGATCGTCTCCTAGACGGATTTCTGCTAACGACAACATAGGCACTATTCAACATTCAGCACCAGAACTTGATCCAGGAGCGAAAGACTGTATTATCCATCGGAATTTTCATCTCTACAGAGACGGGTCGGTAGTACGGAAGAGGTTACGCGACAAGCGAAGGATTTCCACAAGTGTGGAACCGTTGTATTACATTCAATTAGGCGGAACGGCTTTCTTCAAGTGCATGCCACCCGGAACTAACAATTCAAGATTGAATATACCCGAAGGCCTTGTAAAAAGCCAAGAATATATATTATTCTGCAGAGCGACCTATTGTTGAGATCGACCCACAAGGCTCAGATGCATCTGTGTTGGCATGCCTAGATTGCTTATTGGTTACTGGTACAACACGTTACCGTAAAAAAGGATTCTTATCCCTGGCTTCGTGTTCCAATTGCTTGGATCAGGCCAACCTTCGAATCCGTGTAGTGCATTCGCATTCGTTCGAAGTGCAGCAGTGCCCTGAGAGAGTTCCCCCGAGCCGTCTCAGGTACTTGAGATTAAAGGTGGACTCCGCGGTCCTGGAGCAACTCCTCAATTGTTATGACACGGTGTTTGCATCCGAGATTGAAAGTATTATGGGATTGTGCATTATCGCGAGTAATGCTACTGATGCATACAAAGCACACTATTGTGGCGACCATGCTAATCGTCTCGCCGTTCTGATGCTAGGCTCGACTTCAGGACATATTTCTACATTCAGAAGGCTTGTCTTCGGTTGAGTCGGAGAACTGCACGCTAATCCTGCGTGTCTCATAAATGACATCCTTTCTGGTCATCATGTTGAGCTCCACCTCGCTTCCAGAATCCTCTTCGTCTGCACGCGATCGAGCGCTAAGCTTGCTTTTGTTGTTAGATGAGAGCTTGAGATGGTCCGATCGGGCGTTCGGCGTTCGATTGTGATGATAGTTGGAAGAGGATGAGCCATATGTTCGCCTGGATGCAAAGACTCCACCACGTCTGAGATTTGCTCTCATGGAGGGTAGAGACACTACCATAATTGCAACCGCCATTTCTGCCATAGAAAGCACGACTTCACTGAAATTAGAGCTCTACTTTCCATGCCTTTGATTGAGAATAGAATCTGAGTTGGTACTTACAGACATTGGTCCACGCGTGAATGACTTCTATTGTAGCAAAGCGAACAATGTTTACTGTAATGGTGATTACACCTAGAGAAAACGTGGCAACAAGACCCCATATCTGACGTCTGTTGAGCTGCAATTGATAGAGTAGTGGAAATGGTAAAATGCAGACTGGCCATCATTGTTAGCTTCAAAATGCGTCTTCTGGGAGCACGAAGGACATTTACTAAGCACGTCTGTGACGACGTTCATAGCCCAGTCGACCCTAAAGACGACTTTGGAGTTGAATGTACTGCAAGCATCTTCGTCGAGAGACCAATTGACCGAAACTTGTTGACCGCACCAGAAGGTATCCAATAGGCAAGTCGTGATCATTGCGAAAGCTGTGAAGAAGGACACAATATACAACGCCTTACATAGGCGCGGCATTGTGGGAGGGAAGAGCCGGAAGTAGAGAGCCAGGATTGCAAGCTTGGGTAGGTATATGCCAGTGTCATAAAAGTAGTTGCCTGCGAATTGAACCTGTTGCTCCCCATTAGCATATGTCCCCCCTTCCAAAGAGCTATGTAGGAGCGCAACTTTTTTCAAAGCAATCTCCCGTGCTATTGATGTGTCTTCCATGTCCCAATCATCTGACATGCCTCCCCATCTGTACGTCATTAAATCGGTGATGAAGAGTGCTACAGCATTGAGTATCGAGGCAATCAGGAAATCGTCGCTGACGGTAGGAAGCTGGCGCTGCAGGAATCGTGGGACTAGACGACCAGAGGCTACAAGCATGGCAAGGACTAAGACAGTCGCCTCAATGGGCTTCGCAGATAGGTTAGCACGTGTAGTTGGGTGGAAGTAAATCCAAATAGTACGGCATGGAAAAGCAATTACATACAATGACGGCGTTGGGCGCCAAACTATTCGTCATATCTTAGGATCACAAGAGGAATCAGCTGTAAGAGAGTCATGAAAGAAGAGAACGCAGACAGCAATTGCAACCACTAAGAGAGATATTGTGCGGGATATATCCATCCAGTTGCAGGTGGACCGCATGTCGTTTCGGTAAAAAGCGGAATAAACAACTAGAAAAGTCATTCTAAGAGGACATGGTACGGTACCACAGTAGTTAGTTTGCATGGGGGCGCATCTCTAGGCTATGTAACATGCATGTCGAAACCCATAGACTAGGTGCGTGGATGTGGCCCTGCATAAGCCGTTGAGCCTTCAGAAAGATCTCATGCAGGGGTCTCCCGTTTCTCCAACCATTCAGATATTAATAACCGGGACAAAAAATACGAGACAGTGTAGCGCGGGTTTAAATAAGATCGCACGCTCATGCCACACTCACTACGGTACAAAACCAGTTTACAGTAGCCATATTTATCTAAAGTAGACTAAGAAGTAGTTTAGGTAGAAGAAGTAAACCTAAATAGGGTTTACTATACTATATATTCTACTTTTACTTCTACTCCTATTAATCTACTAGTATTACGTAGTAATAACTAGTTTCCTACTAACTATCTAAGTATTTTACCCCTCCTTTCTTTAATCTTCTTTACTACCTCTACTACCTCTACCACCACCTCCACCACCAACTCTATTATCACCACCTCTATTATCACCACCTCCTATTATGCCGTGGCACGGGATGTATAGGAGAAAACGAGGCTTAGCCTAAAAAGTTAGGTAGGTTAAATAGTATACAGGTATAAAGGATTAGAGGATAGAATAGTATTACTCTTAGAGACTTTACTTTAACTCTATAATATTGACTTTTGTCTTATAATCTAGTATTAAATTTATATCCTCTACTATAGGATTACTACTATTAAACCTTACCCCTCCTACTTCTCCTTATCTAAATAGGTTACTCTCCCTATTAGTTTAAATAGTAAAGCCTAAGGGGAACTTATCTTATCTTAGTAAAGGGGAGGGCCTAGTAGTATATAACTAAGAGGACATTTCTCCTAGTATAAGGGGGGTAGAGAAAAATTAGAAAATAGGTAGTGTTAATAATTAATATTATTAAGGCAAAAATACTAGGCCTATATTAGGACGTAGCTAACACTTGTTAGCAGGAATAGAGTAATAATACTAAAAGGCTAACTAGAAAATATTAGAAACACTAGAATAGCTAGAATTAGAATAACTAGAACTAGAATAACTAGAACTAGAATAACTAGAACTATAACAACTAGAACTAGAATAACTAGAACTAGAATAACTAGAACTATAACAACTAGAACTAGAATAACTAGAACTAGAATAACTAGAACTAGAATAACTAGAACTAGAATAACTAGAACTAGAATAACTAGAACTAGAATAACTAGAACTAGAATAACTAGAAGAACTAGAATAACTAGAACTATTAGAATAATTAGAACTATAAGAAGTATTAGTAATACTAGAAGTGCTAGAATACCTAGAATATTACTACTAATAAAAAAGCTATAGTAAAGGCTATAGGATAGTATACAGTATTAGTAGGAAAATAGGGCTAGGCTAAAGTTACTAATATAACAAGAATCTACTAAAAATAAATATAAGTGCTAGCACTATTTAGGAAGGGTATTAGGGATATAGCTACTAAGGAAGAGGGGGTAGTCTATAAAAGTAAGAGATAGGAAAGGAGGGAAGTAATATAAGTAAGTAGATACTAACTTATCTAATAATTTTAATTAATATTACTAGTTTATATACCTCCTTTAATATTTATAGAAGCCTACTACCTTAACTAAGCCTATCCTTTTTACTAGGAATAATACCTAAAGAAAGTAATATTACCCTAGGGTTAACTAAAATAGAATCCTCTAGACCCCTAAGAAGAGTCCTTGTCCTTATAAGGCCTAGGAAAACTAACTTTTAGTTCTAGGGGAGGGAGGTTATAGAGTTCCTAGATAACTATAACTACTAGGTAGAAAATAGGGGGCTAGATAAAGTAGACTAGCTAAAAATTCTACTAGACTTCTATAATACTATATACAGAATATTTATAAAGAAGCTTAGACGCTACTAGAAGTAAGACTAGGAGGAGCTATAGGAAGCTATAAAGGAGCACTAGAGGGACTAGGATATAGCCTAAAGGATAGGTACCTAAACCTTCCTAGATACGTATATATAAGAGGCCTCTAGAAACTTCCTAGGTCTCTTAGACTACTATACTAATTTTATAGTGTATAGTAATACGTGCTAAGTATCTAAATAGCTATATAAAAGTAAAGTTAGATTCTTCTTCTTTAGAGGGTTACCCTAGGTAGATAAAGAGCTAGTCTTGCTTAGTATACTAGGAGGGCCTAATAGTAATAAGGTAGTAAGCTATAAACTAGAGAAGATCTATACCTATATTAAAAGAATCTATTAGTAAAGAGAAGGAATAAAATATATATTAGCTAGCTAAATAGAGGAAGATGCTTAGTAGGTATATTAGATATTAGAATTAGCAAAAGCCACGCCTATAAAGGAGGAAATTATAGAGGTAGTAAAAGGTAATAGAAAGGAGCAAGCTACTACCTAACTACTACTAAATATTAACCTAGAAATAGACTAGTTAATTAGGGCGCTAGGAAAAATAAAGATAAGTTTAGCTAAGGCTAATAGGCTATAGGAATACTACGTAATAGGCCTACTACTAAAAAGCCTAGTAAACTAGCTCTACTTTATTTTATATATAACTAATACTAGGATAAAGTAAGGAATATAGTAGAATACTATAGTAATTAGAGAGTTACTAATAAACTAGCTAAGAACCTAGGGCCCTATATAAACGTTAACTACTTAGCTAGGGCTATAGAGTTATAGGGGGTATAATAAGAAACCACCTACCTATAATATATATAGATTAGAAACCTACCTAGTAAGGGACTACCTACCCTAGCTAGAACTTATAGCACTAGGGTAGGTAAGCACTTCCTAGAATCTAGAAATAAGGACTAGGATATTTTATTATAGACTATTATATAAAAGACTAGGGTAGGTTACTAAGCTAGTACTATAGAACTATACTCTTTACTAGATAAAGTAAAAGTTATATAAATACTATAAAGTTACTAAGGATATCCTTAGATAGCTAGTATTATAGGTTAAGCTTAAACTATTTAATAGAATAGATTTAAGAGGCTAGTAGTAGAGATAGACTTAAGGACTAGACTACCTAACAGTAAAAAGAGCGGGAGCTAATATAATATCTTCCTAGAATTAAGGATTAGAACTAGTAGATACTTAAAAAGAATATAAGTAGTTCTTAAACTATTAAATACTATAACCTAATAAAAAAGACCTAGTAGTAATAATGCTAGATTATATAGACTTAAGATATATTATTCTAGGATTAGTAGACAAGAATATACCTAGGATCCACGCTTCTATAAGGGAGAAAGAAAAGCAAAGGGACTAAGTCTTAGAAGAAGTAAGGATAGGATTAATCTAGAAGCGCAGGCAAGGAAGACTAATATAAAACCTAGTAAACTAAGAAGGGGGGGGCAAGTAAGGAGATAGAACTTAAAGAGACCCTAGAGATTCTATACCTAGCTTAGGCCTATATAGACCCCTTTATAATAATCTAGCTACTAGATAATATAGGTAAAGGCTATATAAATTTAGGGCCTAATTAGGACCTACTAATAATAAGAAGAAAAGTATAGTTTAAAGAAGTAAAGAATAAGGAGCTTAAGGGAATAATACGCCTAAGCCTAAACTAAATAGTAGCTACTTTTCTTAGGCAGGAAGTCTAGGGAATTATAGTAGCTAACCTACTAGGGTAAGATTATCTATAGGAACAAATTAAGACATTATTATAGGAACCCTAGACTTAAGTCCTAGAGGATAATAACTACTTTAGTAGGGTAAATATAGTAGAGCTAGGGGGCTAAGAAAGTACGCTAGTCCTAAATAGGTATCTAAAGGGTGTGTTAATTTTACCCTTTAGATATATTAACTAATTAGAGGAGCTAGAGCTAAAGAATCCTGCGCTAGGTTAGCGTAATATACGTATAATACTAGAAGTACTTAATACCTAGGTAAGGCTCTAATTTAGATAAAACTTAGATAAGTATAGAAAAGATTTAGTTATATAAGAAGAAAAAAACAAGTCTTACGCTAACTAGGAATTAAATTAGATAACTCTCTATATAGAGCTACTAATATGCTAGACTAGTATAAGAGGGAATATAGTAAACTACCTAATTAATATAGGGGTATAAATAAATCTCTTAAGATTAAGTGCTGCGTAGGCGTTATAGGTACCTATTAAGATACTAACCTAGACCCTAGGGTATATATAGGGGGTAGTTATAGCTAATAGTAGGATAGACCTATTTATTAGAACTGCGTAGAATATACTAGTACGTATAGGGGAGGTAGAGACCCTAACTTATTTTAGGGTAATTACAAACCTAACCTACTTAGCTATATTAGGAGGGCTATAGTATACCTCTACTAGGCTAGCTATTTAGTATAATATCTATAGGAGGGTTACCTACTAGGTAGTATCCTTAGATAGGGAAAGGAATACAGTCTTTATAGCCTTAGATCTAAAGCTAGAAGATAAAGATAAAATAGAAGAGGATAATAAATTAGAAAACTAATAGCAGGACCCTTACTTAGGAAAGAGATCCTTAAAATTAATACCTAGGAGATAAATGCTATATAGTAGAATATATAGTATATTTAAAATTTCTATAAGAGGTAGACTATATAGAGCTATAAGTAGGATTTAGTAAATATAGATAACTATTTACCTTAGAAGATAAAAAGATACTAGAAAAATAGGCAGCACAAACTATAGGATATAGTATAGGGGCAAGTAAAGACCTATAAGCTACCTAAGAGCTAAACCTAATATTAGTAATATATAAGCTAAATTAAGGTGCGTAATAAAAAGTAGCGTAAATAGTTACTAAGGTAAGAACTAAGTATAAAAAGGTTAGC